CTTCCATTGTCTTAAGCTCCCTGGAAAAATGAGAACATATTTCCGGTAGGGATAGATTCCCATTAAAACCAACAAGGGAAAATATAACATGTGATTAAGCAAATGGAAGACAAACAAGTGTTGGCCAAAAAACAAGCTGTACACTAAAAGCTTAAGTTTAGGGTCGGGTTACTCAGATCCATGATCCATACAGAGACCAAAAACACATGTTCAGGTTCGGGTACATGCTCGCTCGGTCCATGGTCCTTCTGTGACCGAAAGAATGTATATAGACATGTTGTTTACCGTATAAGTATGATACGTAGTTCAATTTGTTGGTTCATGGTCCATACTCACACCCTAAAATACATTGAACATAAAAAAAGAAGAAAATAAAAAAAAGAGAAGAAAACACGAGGAGACAAGGGGCGGGCCTTGCATGAAGTGTTTCTGGGTTTGAAGGAGTATGGTCGCATTGATTGTCAGGGAATTCGCGCTCGTCGCTTAGATTTTGAAATGTCTGGAGTTCCCAAATTGACTGGCAACTAACCAGGATATAGAACAGTATGTCAATCATATCGTCATGGCTGCCATGGCAGGATGTAAGTTCACCTTCCTAAATTCTCTCAAAGGGTTCAACTGGGTGTCTTTTTTGTGGTACCCCTTTTTGGGTGTCTCCTAAAGGAAAGCCGGGGCCCAGAAGGAACTTCAGGGGGGTCCAATCTTTAAAAAAGAAAAGAGCCAAATGGGCTTGATCGGCAGTACCCTCAAGGCGACACTTCGGCGGCACGCCGGCAGAAATGAACAGCCTTCCTGCGCATTCGGAACGCGGCGTCGGCGTCGCGCAATTTGGGGACCGGGGGTGCCTTCAAGCCTTCCTGACCCCTCCAAGTCGGTCTCTTGCTCCTTGCAACCCAAAGCCGTGCTCAGCCGTGCCTAACCCCTAGAGACTTTTGCATCTACATGGCACAAAGGCAGATTCGACCCGCCTAGAATGGCCAAGGTGGGTTTTGGGCGCATGGGGTGCTATGGACTTGGGGCCTCGGTGCAACCGCACTCCAGCTGGGCCGAAACGACGCACCGGAAGCTGCTTGAAATGAGGTGGAAGGAACTCTGAAAAAAAACACGCGGATGGTTGCGAAATCCATTTCGCACCACCGTTCAGAAACCCTGGAGCGATGATGAACCGCTGTAAATACCAAGAAACTGTGGTTTTTGCATGGTTTCTTAGGTGGTGCAGGAGTTCGTCCATCCACCGTATTGTTGTAGAAACACCAGCAAGTCTAGAAAATGTCTAAATCTTCAAGAAAATGACAAGACGAAAGCCAGCCCCCTCATGAGTCACTACTCACACCCACCAAAAAAAATACAGGAGTCGATCGAACACGGTGTCAATCAACGAACGCAGCTTGATCTATTTCGCCATGGCTGGACTTTGCCGTGCTAAACCTGGCTCGCCTCAAGCCCCGGGATGGTCTTTGATCCCCTGCCACGGGGGCAAATGCGTGTGGAACATCCATGCCTCCAGTTCCGTTGGTGTCAAGTGAGGCAAAACGACTTCAGGAATGTGCCGACTTACCGAAGCGGGAATGCAAGCAGGAGAACATCGCCGTTCCGCACAGTTCACAAGCCCGATGCGGAAGGGCGGACTTGTTTAGAACTGGGTCTCGCATGCGATTTCTGCAGGTGGAATGTCACCCATTGACGGGTTGTTGCTCTACTCAAAGCCCCGGGCGACCGGGGAACCGAATCGACACGCAACTACATCGCCTCACATGTGCCGGTCCGGGCCCGGCCTCCAGGCTGAAGATATCCTCGCGAAAAGGCTGGCTGGCACAAACAACTTCCATTTGCTTCTTTGCCCCCTGGATAAAAAGGGAAAATATGTCCAGAAACTAGAAGGGAAAGCAAACAGAAGATTCACAAATCAAAAACATGGGTATGTGCCAAAAGGGGGGGACCCCCGATCTCCATGACCACCACGACAGGCGCCAGCAACAGTACTCGGCATGGCCACATTCCGGCAGACAGCACTGCAGGGCTGTCAGGACCAAGCGGGCCAATTAAGCAAGAACATGGCGCCTCAAGGTGAAATCTTGAAGGCACGGCCAGCATGAAAGGAGTAATTACAACTTCAATGAAACCTCAAACAAACTTGGCAACACGCTAATTTAGAGGTTTTACCTGCGTAGCTGTAATTGACATTAAAGCAGCCATTAAGACCGGGTTGTCAATCTTTTCCCCTGTAGCCACTCCCCTGCCCTCTAGCTGAACCGCCCCCCTCTTTAAAAAGCAAAAACAATTAGGAGACCGAAGTCCAGCAATCCCTTCGTGCGACCCCCCCGTTGATCCCGCGTCGATGCCAATTTTTCTAGGGCTGATTCCCCATTATTTTCAACAACCGATCGCTGTTTCCCCTGAAATTCTGATGGTTTGTGAAAAGATTCGGATCCCTGGAAAGAATGGTTGGAAGTGTCCGTTAGAAAAATCCGTGGAGCGCGCGTCCGCGCGCGTCCGCGCGCGTCGGCGGGGGTTCCTTGAGGCGGCTGGACATGGGCTCCCAGGGCTCCCCATCCGCCGCCATCAGCGACCAGAGGAAGAAGCGCTCGATGGCGCTGACCCCCGCCTTGTCCTCGGATCGGATCGGATGCGGAAGGGGCGATTGGGGGAGGCTTGGGGGTGCGGCAAAAGGGGCGGGGGGCGGGTGGGGGTGGGGGCGGTTGGGGGGCAGGGCGGGGGGCAGGGCGGGGGGGATTGGGGTGTGGGACAGGTGTCAGGGAAGGTTGGGGGGTAGGGATCGCTTGGGGCAGGGCAGGGGTGGGGTTGAGGGGGGGGGGGGTTGGGTTTTGGATTTGTGGTGGTTTGTGTTTGTTTTTGTACTTTTGCCTGAGTGCACAATGAAAGCCCCGAAAAAGCAAGTCTGTCGCTGGGAAACACACCTGCCCGGGAAAGAGACTAGCCACATGCAAAAACGAGTCCTAGCCCAACAAGGGCGCCCCATTAATCCTTAGTTGTTTCCATGGCAACAGCTGATGATCATCCGAAAACTTGGGAAGTTGAGGCACACGTACATGATCATCTCGGCGACCAAGATGTTGCTCTTGGCCCAACATCAAGTGATTCCACCTAACTGACTGCAGCTGAATCAGCTTTGTCGATACACGTGGGACTAAATTTGATTGCAGGCGGTTTCTCGCAAAAAATAAACAAACAACGTGCAAGCTTTGGATTCAATGAGAGTAGCATGCTCCAGCCCGCATAGATCATCCTTACCTCACCCTGGAGCCTTCATAGTGAATGGCGCTGGTTTCCGCTTTCTTCAAAAAAGAGTAGCCTTACAGCTCGGTTGCTTTCTGCTCCCCTGCTAAAAGTTTAACTTTTAGTGGTTTAGTGGAAAACCCATTAGTTGGCAAAAAGATAAAGTCCTAACAGCCCTGGGCAAAATGCACCAAAGACAGACTGGGCCTTTCCGCGAGGTTTTCTCGCCTCTTAAGCTTTGGGGGCTTTGGGGACCGGGATCCGATCAAAGGGGTCTCAAGTGTGGTGAGTTCTCCATGAGTTTTGATTCTTCCCCGACTCCCGCCCGGATTGCCCACCCACTTTGCCCAGTTAAAAAAGATGATTGAACGCCATCGTGCAAATCTGCACAGACTGGTTGGGGGTAGGGCCCGCTGAACAACTAAGGGTACAAATGGGGTTGTCTCAAAATACGGGAACCCTCCAAATCTTTGGATTTCTTTTTGGCTTTCCTTCAAACCAACCGAATCCATTCGATTCATTCGGAGGATCTGTCTCGAAGAGAGCGCTGCAGTCTTGCTCCAAGAAGAACATGATGAGCCTTTTTGTGGTGTCGTCCGCCTCGGCCAAACCGAGGTATTCGGCAAGCAAATGCCTTGGGAAATGAAAAACGAAGCTTAGGAAATCCAATGAGTTGCCTTGCCATGTCTGACCTTTTCAGTTGACTGGCCACAAGAGTTCAAACTTCTTGGGCCTTGACCTCTGAAACAGTTTGCGCCAAACATGAAGATGACACCTATCAATCAACACATAAGTTTAGGCACATCAGAACCGTTCACTAGCCACAAATAAGGCATCCTATGCCAGGGTCCAGAAACCGTCCGGGACGTCCAAGACGAAGAAACACGTTTTTGAGAAGCACGGTCAAAAACGGATGCATGCGCTTGACGAAGGAACCCTTGCCTGCACCATGTACGTTGTTTGTGTCACGCCTGTGCCTTCTCACGTCAATGCACCATGCTGGGGTGCTGAAACTGACGGCGGACTGACTTTCTGACCTTGCCAAAGTTGGATGTTTGGCTTGTAAACGATTGTAAGCGGCGAGGACTGGGTTGTTGACGGACCGCCCTCCCCCCAACAAAAAAACAAATAATAAATAAACAAATAAATGAATACATAAATATATAAATACATAAATAAATATATCTATATATAACACAAATATATTGAATAATTGGTTCCTGTGGATCCTGACTAGCATGGACCAACAAAGCCAGCAAAAAAGCCCAAAAGGCGACTGCGGGAAAGTGAGTTCTCCTAAAGTCAGAACGGTACTGTGGATGGACGAAATCCATTTCACCGTTCAGCAACGCTATGAGTCGATTCACCTGTAAATAACAACAATGGCTTCCCATGGCTTCAAAGTGGTGAAGGATTTCGTCCATCCACAGTAGTGCCGAAGCTTGGGGGTAGCTTCACACTTGCCCTTAAACCCCCAAGTGAGGGGAACTTGAAAGGCGAGTTTGGAAAACCACGCCTTGGCGACATCGCTTCTAGGCCACGCCTTGCCCGTTTCGTTCTGCACACATTCGGCAACACACCCCTCCCCCACATGTTCGGGCCTCACACCTGAAAATCCACCCTGCCAGATTCTCTGGAGGTTGTTCACCCTCAAAACTGAAACACAGTGTCAATGAACCTAGGATCCATTATACACCCTCCCACCCATTCACACAGAAGCTGGAAAATCGTCTTCCAGGACCCCCAGAAACGTCAGGTTCCATGTGAAAAGGGTGGGAGGGCAATCCCCCCAAAAAAGTGTCCGAACATGTCCGAACGAGCCCCAAGCGAGCAAAAGGTCGATCACTTTTGGTTTATGGCTCGCCATGTGCAAAGGCCAAGTCACGATACTAACTTGGTTGACGTTGGAAGGGGAGCAAAATGTTAATTTTTACCAGTTAAGTGGGGACCTCCCACTAAACTACAATAAGCAAAATTTTGAAATGTTTCCCAACGACACCAATGGTAAGGGGGTGGTTTTTTTGTTGAGTGTAACCTTCATGGTTGGGTTGCAAAGGGGAACCAAAGGGAAAACGACAACTTTTTTGGTTTCCCGCGCCAACCAAACAATCTTTCACCCGCAAACCACTACTTTGAAGGAACATCATATATATATATATATATGTAGCAATACATACCCATATCTCGCGCATGGCTGAGTGCCTGCTGAGCGGTGGCAAATGGTTGGGGGGGTCACACACCCTGCCCTCCGACCATCTGGCGAGGTGCAAAAAGCGGGATGACGTGCGCCGGAGTACATCCCCGATGGTCGCGAGCACTGAGAGCAAAGAGCGTTCATTGGCCATGTGTCGTGTTTGAGGGTAGCCCAGGCTTGGTGGTTTTCAACAAAGGAACAAAAGGAGGAACATCAAGACCAGCCTGGTTTTTGTTGTTTTTTGCGGGGGGGGGGGGGGAGGAAATGGCCTCAAAAAGACACTCCTCAACGGGGTTTGGAGATGTAAAGGTTCATGCACATAAGTTCAGAAAGGAACGCTACTGCCTTACGAGCTATTGGTGGAGCGAAGCCTGCATGCAGAAACCGAAACCCCATACCTGACAATGCTCAAAAGCCGCCGCGCACTGATCAAAACTGAATCCTGTTGCGGGTCACAGTCATGGGAGCAAACGAGAGAAACCTTCGCATTGGTTTCAGAAGAATAAACCAGGTTGTTTTGCCCAGTTTTTTTGGCTTCAAAGGACCAAAAGGAACACCGTGGCGCCATCCTGGGATGTTCCAACCTAAACAAAGACTGCCTGAAGGCTTAAGTATCGGTGGTTTGGAGCCGAATTGGGTGGTTTGGTGGTCTTGCGGGGTGGTTCACCATTTGCCTTTCAGGGAAGCAGTTCAAAATCCCCACCAACTCAGGATTACTTGATACCTGGTAAGGGCCTCTGACTTGCCAGAGCTCAAGGCTGGATCTTCTTGGGCTGATCATGTGTTAAATCAAACGGTAAACCTCCCAAATGCTCGCAAGTGAGACTCAACTTAAGCCGCATCAAGGCCCCTACCACAAATGAGCCTGGGAAATCGAAGGACCCGTCTCTTTTCGGCTTTGGGGCAAACGAAATAACATACGGGAGGTTGCCCAAGGTCAAATCCCATCGTTTCCAATCGAAGGGCGCGAGAAAAATCACTCAACATTGAATGCTTCTGTGTTTTGTTGATGCGTCTTGTTGCTTCTTTTGTTGTTGATTTGTTTGACACAAAACAAACACACACACACACACACACAAGAAAAGCCATGTGTTTGCTGGAAACACTGGGGGCCTTGTCTCCCAAACCGGTGAAATTTCTCTGGGACGTTTCGCGGGAGAAGTCAAGGGCAGGCGCCTCATGGAAGCTCCGAAGTGGACGAGCAAAGACACGGAGCTCGTCGACCGCGCCTCGCGAGAAACACGAGGCGCCCCGGTTTCAGTGCGCGGTTTCCGTGTTTCTGTGGAGAGCCGGGCGGGGGTTGAAGTCCATGAACTCAGGGAGTGAGAAATCCTTTTGAGAGGAAAATGGTCTGGGAAGCTCCAGTCAGATTCCAAGGAGGAGTGGTCTTTGTTCTAAAAAATCAATCACCCTTTGGCTTGCTTTTGCAAATTGTGGAACATATTGCGGAGAGGGTGGGTGAAATCCACTTCGTCACCATTTGAGTTCCCCCAACTGGCCATAGGATGCTGTTTCCATGTGGGGTTGAGCGTGGGTGAAAAGTGCCTCGGTCTCATTGGCAAGTAGCCCCAAACCGCTTCCATAGCCCCTTAGCTTCCTGAAAACAGCCGGGTGGTTCCCAGCTTTCTCACTCCGCACCTGCCTGAAGATGTTGCGCATGCATCTTCTAAACCGAACGTGGTCCTGTTTCGTCGATCGTGTTTCTTTTCATTTTGTTCCTCGATTTTGTTCATTTTTAGCGGGGGGCTGGAAAAAACAGTCAGTTGTTTGATTCCTGTTGCAGCAAGTTGAGAACCCCAACCCCGCTTACCCTTAAAACACAGGCAACACCTTGGCGCTGGCAGGTTGGCTTCGCCCACGCCAAGCGAAAAACCCGGCGCCTGCGCTGCGTGGTGGAGACACGTCTGGCCCTTGCCATCCACGATGTTGGGATCGGCCTGCCAGCGCCGGGTGGGTGGAACCGTTCCAGGGTATGGAACCCAAATGGCGGTCAGAATGGGGAAGACCCTTCCTAGGTCCTCCAGTAGAGAGGATAGAACAAGGGTACCAACTTTTTTCTGTAGTCTATTTTAGTAGGAGAACCCTCCCCCCAAAAAGGGTAAAAGGGCACTACTGGGATACCTAGCTTCTGTTTAGATAGTGTGTTTGTGTGTGTACGCGTGTTCGGGGGTCCAAGGGTCATCAACATTGGCCCAAAAGGTGTTGAGATCACCCTGCGTCCAGCTTCGGCAGCTGCTGATGGCGTCCCCACTAGCAGGATTCCACCGTGCAAATGCTACCCCCCGCCAAAAAAATAAATCAGGAGCCCGGAACCCAAACTGGCTATCCCCCGCACAGAAGATGCCTCAAACAAATGCCTTGTCTTGGGTTCAGTACTTCGCCTTGAAGTCAATCACATTATTGGGGCCAGGGGGCTTCTAAGTAACGAACAAGGGCTTGGCACACAGGAAGGACAGAACTCCACACTAAGCCAACTAGGCTCCTTTATGCAAAGAGAGCTACAAACCACACGTTCTTGCTCCAGCACGCGACAATTACTTGGATGGCCTTGAGTTTGGTGGCGGGAGCACGAGGGAACCCACCCCATACAGTTGTCTGAAAATCGAAGGCAGAATCCGTCATACAGTTTGGTCTCCCCTCTACTTACCTATCCCAGCAGTCACCCTTCTAGTAGGTAACCCTTCGCCATGTTCCGTCTAATTTCTAAAGGCTGACAAGCCTGTGGTATGGTAGCAAACAACTGACTGTTTCTTTGCAGCCCCCTGCTGAAAATGCACAAAACCCAAAACATGCCCCCTACTAAAAGTAACAAAAGCAAGACACACAAAAACTAACATCCAAGAACAGTGCAGTGAATTCACCGCCAGGTCATCGCTGGCTCGCTCGCTTTCGCTCGCACGCGCCTTGTCTTGCAAGAGCCGGCGGCAGTCGTCGAGGCGCTCATCACGCAAGGCGCGCCAAAGGGACAGCGACACCCCGATGTTCAAGTCCTGAAGCACAAGTGCAGAGTGAAGGCCTTTCTGGCTGTTCTAGGGGTTGGCTCCCCATTCTTTTCAACCATCGTTCTTTTCAAAAACCAGCTGTTTCCGCTGGGGTTCTGATGGTTTTCTGAAAAAAAAAGGATCCTTGGAAAGAATGGGGAAGTGTCCCCTAGAGCTGTGGGTCAAAAGTAGGGTAACCCCAAAATGGAAACCCCAAATGGAAGCATGGACCAAAACCTGCGGTCCTCGGGTGGTTTAATTTTGACCCATGCTCAATTGAATGCGGTTTGGTGGTGCAAAATCCATTGACCCAACCAAGGGCCAGGGGTTTGAATCCCGACAAAGATGAGTACTGTGGATTCAGCCCAAAGGCAAATTAAATGGATTCGTGGAAAATCTCCCCTCTCTCCCTATGCATGAATAGGGCTTGGGGACACCGATTGCTTGCCGACCCTCCTCAAGGATGAGTGCAGAGTGAAGCCCTAATGATTCCTCACTTCCCAAGTGGACGGCAACCAAACAAAGCAACCAAACTTTTGGTTTGCCACCAAAATGGCCTTCCCAACAAGATTCACGTCCAGGAACTCGGGAAGTGAAGCCTTATAAATAATGAAGTTTGGTGGTTCAGGGGTTCAAGCTCCAAACCACCAGCTAGGGTAACACCTACTGGTGGTTGCGAGTCTGCTGAACGGCACCACCGTTCACAAACCCTACTGTTTATGATTTGAGTGTTCAATTGAAATATCAACCAACGTTAAGGTTCAACCATGGTTTCCAAGTGGCGCAACATAAATTTCGCCCATCCACAGTAGGAAGCGGGCTACTTGGTGGTTCTCAAAATGGGCGGGCCCCCTTTTTGGATGCTGCTAAAGCGAAAGTAGGGAAGAGCAACCATTTCGGGGTCCTCGATTTTTGAGAAACAAAAACAGACTGGCCACCCCACTTTCTGACTTTAGCCATTAAACAAAGCACAGCTTCCTTTTTGCGGAACACAACCCATCTCAAAGGGTGGGTCTTTCCTTGTGGTCATGGACATTTGTTCAGCTCACGTCCTGAGTGGTTTGGCCAAAACATGTCCAGGAACTGCTTATTTATCATTGATTAAAGAGTCCGAGGCGGAACTCAGGACGTGAGCTTCTTTCCTTTCCCCCTTTAAGCCCCAACGTCTTCAGGGCCCATGGGAACACGCAACCCCATTTGGCCCCGCCCCCCTTCCCCCCTTCGCATGGAGCCGAAACCGAACAAAAAACCGAAGAAACAAAAATAATCCAAAAAAAGAAAAGAAAGAGCAACGGAAACAAAAACACACAAAAAACAAACACAGAAAACAACAAAAAAAAGGAAAGGGGGGGGGGGCATGCGGAAAAACCGGGGGAGGAAAAAAGAAGAGAAGAAGAGAAGGGTGGCGCGCGCCTCCAGGAAGACCTGCATGAGGCTACTCACCATCTCCCGCTGCTTGGTCTCGAAGTCGCGGTTTCCCTCCGCCAGCTCGAAGCCCACCGGGATGAAGGTCTTCCTCGGGCGAAGGCGAAGGCGGGCCGCCCGAGCCGGGCGGGCGATCCATGGGATGGGGGGGATGGTGGTGGGGGGAGGGGATGGGGGGGGCCGGGGGAGGGGAAAAGGAGAAAGGTGTGTGTTGTTTTTTGAGATGTTGGCATGAGTCGTTGCTTAAAAATTCCTTGGCTTGGTTCTGGATGGGGCTTTTGCGGACGTGTTCTGGGTTCCCTCCAGAAGGAGACATGCCCTTCCAGATCTGGAGATTTCCCCGCATATGTCCGGAAAATAAGTTGGGCTTGACCCAGTTGGGCTTGACAATGTTTCGTGGGTTTCGGCGCCAAACTGCTATGCCAAACGAGGCTGGAAGCCAGTCACGGAACTGGCACTCGAAGCCAAGCTGCGACTCCAGCTCCTCCGTAAACGAGCGCCTTGCAGAAAAAGCACTTGGAAAAAGGCCGACCGACGTAGCTTACGAAAGGCTAACTGGGTCGTAGGGCTGCTGGATGTCCACTTTCCACAAAAGGTTTGCCTCGAGGGCACAAGGGCTATGGGCTGTATAGTTGCGGTTTATGGGCGGAATAGTTGAGTATTGCCATTCCTTGCCTTTACATGTGTCCAAACCTGCTGGTCTTTTTGCACTCTTGGTTCCAGACTCAAGAAAAGCCCTTGACTTCAATCAACAAAGAGCCATCATGTCATATGTCGTGAAATCCTGCTCCTTGGCAACAGATGATCTGCCCAAAAAGTGTTTATGCCGATTGGGGACCTGCGTCTTGTTTCTTTGGAAACAGATCCGCCCTTCAGGACCCAGCAATTGAAGATCACCAGTTGGGCCTTGGACCTGGTTGCTGGCGCTTGACCCCTCCACAAAACGTGTTTCACTTGTGAGTCCAATTCGGAAGATCCAACCTGTTTCAACCAACAAGTTAGTCTCCAAAGAGTTTCTTTACCAAATAGCAATAAAGTGGAGTGTTTCCCATTTTGCTTTCACTCTTTCCTCTCTCTCTCTTACCTCCCTTGATCCCGCGCCCTGCACTGCTCTTTCTTGCGGTCATTGTCTCCTTTATCCATGAGTTCGTCAGAGTTGTCAGCTTCCCTGCAAGTGGTCTTGAGGTTAGGTTGTTCCCTCTTTTCCCTCTACAGGAACCAGTGCATCATGCACAAATAACAACCAATTCAAACCACCAATTAGGGGGTGTGGGTTCCTTCCGTTCATCTTTCATTTGGTTCAGACCCCCGAAAATAAATAAATAAATAAAATCCAGTAGTTACAAATTACTTTGAAGACCAACCAGGGGAAACATATTTCTTTCGGCAAATGGAAGGTTACATGCGGAAACCCAACCACTAAACCAACCAAAAACCAGTTGAGTGGTTGGATTTCAACCACGAAACCACAATCAGCAAAAACGATTGAAATGTTTCCCAACAACAACCATGTTGCGGGGGTTACCTGATACTGGGAATTCCTTCCGTTCATTTGTCAGGAACCCAAACAAAAAATCCGCCACCGACCGGTTCAACGAGGGCGCAGCTCATGCGCCAGCACGTCCGGGCCCGTCTGGGCCGCTTTCCGCAGCCGTGCCCCGCCGTTCCTGGGAGTCCGCGAGGGATTCGAATCCAGTCGAGAGGTTTACTCTCCGCTTCTTCGCTGGCAGACTTTCAAGGGACACCCCAACAACAAGGGGCACCAGTCAAGGTCTGGGCTACTATCCCATCCTTTCTTTGGTAGTTGACTTTACTCCGTTGCTCTCTGCGAAGCCCTGCTAAAAGTGACTAACTTTTAGTGGTTTAGTTCGGAAAACCCATTAGTTGGCAAAAAGTCAAAGTCCTAACATCCCAGCAAAATGCACCAAAGTGTAGTAGGTGGTTACCTACCTGGGTTCTAACCCACTAATGACAGGGTTAACTTTACTTGAAGCAACTTATAACTGTACTAGGTTACCAGCAACTTCCCAAGTCGCATTTTCCCAAGTTTAAGATTCACTCGTGTTGACCCACTTTCTGTCAGCCCCCACAAGATTGCTTGTGTGTGAACAAATTTCAAGATGGATGTGTTTGCCCAGCAAAACTTAGTGTCCCTAGTTGAAGGGGTTTACCCTATTTCCCCAGCAGATGAAGGCCTTGGGGTCGTTGCCCAGGTAGGCGTCGGTCGGAGTGGGCGAGCAGAGTTCCGGACATTCTTGGGGAGTTGGGTCAAAGTGGCGCCCAACCGGAGCCGTCGGTTGATTCGGTGAAGCGGCAAGGGATTTTTCGAGGGGGCCACTGAACCGGGCCGAGCGCCCCGCCGAAGAAAAAAAGAAGAGCTGCAGTATGCCAGAGAAGGCTCGAAAACCCTTCCCGCTCCAAAAAGGAGGGGGCGGTGCCTAATATGGCTTCCCCTCAAAAAAATCAAAAGCCCCCCCCCCATTTGCCGAAACACCCGGACATGAAAAGAGGGTGTCAATTCTAAGTGGAAATCGCATTGTCCAAACATTCCCCAGGACTTCCCAGGGGCGGACTTACACAATCTTAAGACCATGCCATCACCAAGCCAGCATCTCCACTCAAGGCTTCAGTAGTTTCAAAAGAATTGGTTTTAGATCTTGAAGCAACTAGTTTCAGAGTTCTGAGGCTCGGTTTTACCACAAACCTCCTTTCGTCCCTTGCTCATTTGCTTCCTCAAAGCCAGCAAGGTCACGCCTAGCATCTGAAGTAAAAATGAACTGTCGCCAATCAGACCCCCCACTTTGGGGTAAACAAGAAGTTTCTCGGTTGCTTTCTGCTCCCCTGCTAAAAGTTTAACTTTTAGGGGTTTAGTGGAAAACCAATTAGTTGGCAAAAAGTTAAAGTCCTAACATCCAAGCAAAATGCTACACCCATCCACCAAACACTTGTTGTACCCTGCATGGCTTCTTCTCTTATGCGACGAAAAAAAAACTCTCACTGTGCACAAGTAGATGCCTAGTGGAAGACGGACTCATTTCCCGAGGATGGCTTCCCATAAAACAAGGTGTCAGGACTCCACCCATGTTTTCCATGTTTGAACTCAAAACCAAAAGGGACGCCACGGGATCTGACAACGAAGCGTGTCCGGGGGGGGGGGGGGGGGAGGGGGGGAGAAAAAACACGAGAACTTTCTTTGGGCTTCACTTTCAAAAAGATCCTCTACACCAAGGCACCCTCGGCAAACATGAAACTCAAAGGGTCGCTGTTAGAGGAACATGGTGAATCATTTGTTTCTGGCCTCCATGCCTTTTCTTGGCACCGGGTACCCTCAAACCCACCCTTGAGTCACTTGCAAAACACAACAACCGGCCCGCCCCCTTCGCCCCTTCTCCGCGCGCACCAGGCGAACGAGCGCGCAACCGGCAGGCGAGGCTCAGGATGTCTCGTTTCACATCCGCGTTGTTGGCGAAGATCACCTGAACGGGTATGGTCGATGGACGTGCTAGGTCCTCCAGTGGAGGAGGTTTGAATAAGTTGGTACCAACTTGTTTCAGGTGGGATGGAGTTTCTGTTGGGGCTATCTTAGGGGAACCCTCCCCAAAAAAAGGGTAAAAGGGCACTATTGGGAGACCTAGACATGACATGACCAATAGGGAAAACCCAAACACAAGCACCCTAAAGGTCTCGGTTGTTTTTGGGCCTTAAAAACTGGTTCTTTTCAAGGGCCCCTGAGGAATTGGTCGGGGTTCTCCATTGGAGGGTCCAGGGGTGTGCATTGGAGGGGTCATAACCCTTGGGGCATGATGCTTCAACCTGAGAAAAGTTACCCCTAATCAAAACTGGAGGCCTTTCACGGAATATGGAAAATCGAACCAACATCGCCATGGCTTCAACAGGTGCCCCGCCAACTCACAAACCCCGTGGAGTGGATGGGCCAAAAAAAGAAACCAAACTTGCGGGGTGTTTCACTAAAATGGTCCAAACCCAAAATGGTCTTCCAACCTAACCAAGCAAATTTCACCGTGTTGATGGTTGTGAAGTCCATTTCGCGCCACCTACCATGAATCGACTCATTCTTCTGTTTCTGAAGTGTTGCGACCGGATTTTGTCCATCCATACCCAGCTTGCTCAGCGGATTGACGGTATCTGGCTGGGTTGCTCCAAGACCCGAGCAAAAGGTTGATCACCTGTAGGTTTACTCGGGAAACGCCGGTATCCCATCAGGCTCTCTTTCTGGGATCGCCAAGTAGTCTGGGATCGCCAAGAATTCCTGGGCGAAGTGTAACAAGCAAAGGGCCTTATGTGAGGAAGCTTTACTTTGGGTGACTTTACGAACCCCCCGCCCCGGGTGACGATGCGCGCATATGATTTGACCAACATCACTGCTCGCTTCACCGTGATTCAGGCCCGACAAAGAAGGGGGAGGGATCCCTAATCCGCAACCCTTCAAGCACCTCTCAAGGGAAACCACGACCATCTGGCAACAGGCTCTCTCGCAGGTTTTCAACCACCCAAGTCCCTTTGACACACCTTTTCTGATCTTGGAAGTTACATGGAAAAAGTCTGTGCCAAAAAAACCCACCTTTCTCCCCCTCCCCCCCTCTTTTCTATGTACCAAAAGCCACGTTTCTCACCCTCCCCTCCTCTTTTCCTGGTGGCGTCCCAATTTTTTGGGCTCCCTATGGCTCCCTTCACCCCAGCATCGATCCCCTCGATTTCCGCGACCCGCGATCCGCGACCCGCCGAGGCCATGGCTTTTTGATCGATCTTCGATCCCGGGCCTCGGGCGCCGCGGCCTCCTCCATGAGGGCCACCTTGACGATGCTGATGAACCTCACTCCGCGCGCTCGTTGGGAAGATCCAAAACGACTCAACTCGGGGTGGCGAAATTTCTGCGAGGCGCGAAAAGGTTGTTTGTTTGTGTTTTTGTGTTAAACATCATCCGGAAAACCATTAACATAATCTTTTTTAGTGGTTTTAATCCGGAAAACCCCGGTTAGGTCACAAAAAGTGAGTCAGTCCTAACTAGGCCTAACATCCCTTGGCAAAACGCACCACAGAAATAGAGCGGGGAGGGTGGCGGGGTAGACAAGAACCACAAATGGAATTCCAGGGGTTCACCCCTTCTTTCCCGATTGCCAGATCTGTGGATTTCGGGTCCGGGGTGCACCAATTCCATTTAAATCTAATCTTCCACAAAGGTCCCAACCATAGGGAAAGATCTCTTCTTTGGTCGGCAGCGCGTTTGCCATATCTGGATACTTGCGGGTGGACAGGACATCGGTCTAACAGGCCCGGACAATCGGGACACTCCCAAAAACCTCAGGCCCAGTATCCCCCCTACCGATAGAAGGGGGTGGAGGGTGGAGTTGGGGTGCGGTTCCCCCATTCCATTTACATCTAGTCTTTCAGCCATAGGGAAGTGGGTTGCCATAAATGGAGATGTCCAGGGTCGTTTTCTCCCCCCTCCCCCAATTCCATCTATAAGGGAACCGGTGGGGATGGAATAGGCAGCAAGCCTCTGTTCCGCTTCGCGGCTTCGAACGTAGCCCTCCCTCCCTGCCTCCCTTCCTCCCTCCCTCCCTCCTCCCCTCTCTCCCGGTCCCTGCCAGCTCCTAGCCCTTAAGGTTCCAAAAGCTGTCAAGGATTCCAACTTCCAACCTCGGTTCCCCAGGAGTTCCAACGGAGATGGTTGCCCCGCAAGGCACATGAAGCGAGGTCTTGACATCCTTTTGCGGGCGCATCTTTGAGCACTGTGAGGACCCCTGTTTGAGGGTTAAGGAAGGCCTTTAGTAAGGGGTCGAGTATGCCTGAAGAAAATGTAAGGGCCCTTTCCTGTCATGATTGTTTTCCATCCCTTGACTACTTTGTCTCTTTGCGGATCCCCTTGGTCTCATAGAAAGTGGCAAAGTGGCAACCTACCCCCCCCCGCGTGTCCCACAATGATGACTTCAACCACATGTACAGAATGCAGCCCAAACTCAGAAAGACTGCTGGCCTATCCGATTTCCAAAAGGACATACGTCAAACACATTCAAACACAACATACCCTAAAAAGGACGAACAGCTGCACCACCCGATAATCCCTGAAATGATGCACCGAACGATCCCATTTACCCCAAGAATCCGGTCTGACCATTTTTTGGAGGAAGAGTTTGTGGGTTGATTCCCTCCAAAGTTGGGGAGGGTTTCCCTACTAAAATAGACTGCAGAGAAAAGGGTGCCCTTATTCTAACCTCTCTACTGGAGGACCTAGAAGGGGGAAGCTGAAAGATTTGCTGTACTTTTACTCCCTGAGTTGGGTTTGATTGCCATTTCAGTCAAGTTGTGAGCCACAATCGAAACCCGGGTAGATGAAGGTTAGTGGGGACAATCCCAACCATAAATAGCTGCGGCCGCCTTCTTAATTCTTTGCATGGTTCTGGGTCGACCATTCTAATACCGGGTTTGATTGTGACTCATGTGGTTACTTTCTTTTTCTCGCCAATCCACTCCGGAAGCGAGTTCTGCTTGTGCGAAAGAGGATGGCATATTTCCACCATGTGGACTTAGTATGACTTATAAAGTCACTTCCCCACATTTCCCAGCTGCCCGTTCTACATATACTTCATTATACTTCCATTTGGCTAAGACTTAAGAATGTTTTTGTTTTCCCCTGTTGACTTTAAAGAGAATCTATCACTACTGGAAGTATGTTTATTCTTTCCAGCAGACTTAAGCAAATGGAGGTATGGACCATGACTCTGGGTAGACAATGCCGCTCAAAGGACCTCTTAGGTTCCACCCGCAGGGCCATCCCATGTCCCTTGTGGCAAAAAAGGGCAAAAGGACACTACTGGGGGACCTAGCCCTTGGTGATTTGGAGCCCGGTGGTTTGCTGTTGAAGCTCAGTTTCCCATCTAGATTTACACGTTCCAGGGGTAAGCAGACCCCGGAAAGCGCCGGCCTGTCGAAGTAGGTCCGCCCTTGCTGGGTGGGCTCTACCTGGAGGGAACTGCATAGACTCTCTGCCGAAGTCCAGCCTTTACGTGTTGCTGTGGTGTTGCGTTGTTGTGTTGTTGTGGTGTTTTGTTGTGTGTTTGTTTGTTTGTTTGCTTGCTTGCTTGCTTGCCTGTTTGTTGGTTTGTTTCTGTGTTTTTTTGTTGGCTTGCCTGTTTGATTGTTTGTTTTTTTGTTGGCTTGCTTGCTTGTTTGCATGTGCCTTTCTTTGTGTGTTTGCTTGTTTGCTTGTTTCTTTGCCTGCTGTATTCCTTAAGCAACACATGCATCAGGGTTGGGGAGTTGGCTCCGTCGGATGTGTGGCAAGCACTAACCGGGATGCATCCAAACCACAATCGTCTCTTTTTTGGGACGCCCCTCATTTCAGGAAGGCTTGGCTTTAAGGAAAGCCAAAAGGAAGCTCACCATTTGGCGGGTTCCTCAAATGTTTGAGACATATGTGTCAATCACGCGGAAATTCCGGTCAATAGCACTTGCTTATATAGACAAGTCAGTACCTGTTCTCATTGCATCTTGGCTGGCCTCGAACAGAGGTCCAAAAATAAACACCCACTAACGACCAACATAGACCGAAATAGTTCTCTCAGAGGTGATCAATTGTTCCAAAATTACTGTCTAGGAAGTGGGGCGTTGGTGTGTGCTCCAAGCCTCTCTTCAATGAATACATACCCTTATTTGGAGGATCCAAAGACTGTGGAGGTCAGTCGTTTTGAGGCTGCCCATTTCGTTTTTGGGAGACAAAGGCAACCAGCATTTCTGGGGGCCCTCATTCTGAGAAAAGCACAAAAAGGCCCAAACAACACTTCGCTTCGCGGATGCCCGCCTCTATTCGGTATCCGAAAGGTGCACGCATCATCTCTACTGCATGGTCTTCCCCATCCTTAGCAAGGTGAGGCTCCAAGTTTCGAAACCGGAGCGGGCAGAGAAGGTGGACGCCCTGAAAGTTGCAGGTAAGGAGAAGAGGGTACACTGACGGTTTACCATGGTACAATGTTGACTAAGTTTGGTTGGTTTACATTACAATACTTAGAGCATCCATAACCCTGGCATTTGGTCATAAAGCGGAACCCTACCTATTGCGCAAACGCATCTGGTATTTTCGCAAACCGGCGCGCGTGGCTGGGGCCTGTTGCTCATGAAGTGCGGCTAGACTGATTTCTTAATGGCGCAGGCCCTTTTGCCGGCCAAGTAAGCAAGTATTTCGGAACATAAGCCACTTGCATCCAGGTGAGTGTGTTTTTGTGTAGGCGAACAGGCGAAGCCCCAAAATGGAGGGGGGGGGGGTGTCCTTTTGGTTTCCCTTTGTTCAACTGCCAACCAAGGGCACGCCACAAAAAAGCAATCAGGTGCACTCTTGGGGGATCTTCCTTTTTCCAGTTGCCCACGTCTTATTCAGACAGCGAACACCGAAAAATGCTGAGGCGCAACTCAGTCAGGGTCTGATTACTTAGTACGCCATTGGAATATGATCCAAATTTGCCTCAAGGATCACAACTAAGCTTCAAAATTCCTCAGTGAACCTACTAGAAGGGCACCCTGTGGCTTCAGCGATTAGGTGGGGGATTCTGCCAAACGCTTTTAATTTCCCCCTGCAAACATCCCGAAGGATACTCACAAACGCAAAACAACACACCCATACTGTGGATGCACAAAATTCCTTCGAACCACCTGAGAAACCTTTGAATAATTTGATTCCCCAACGTAAATACCAACAAACCAACAAACCTTATGGTGTCGCCTGGATTCCTTACATGGTGCGAGAAGCGATTTTCTGGGCTGAATGGGTGATAGCGCCGTTTTCCATGATGACTTGAAATGTCAATTCACTAGGGATGCTGTACCAGCTGACCGCATATCCAACTAGGTCCTCCAGTGGAGAGGTTAGAATAAGGGTGGGAAAAAAGGGTAAAAGGGCACTACTGGGGGACCTAGCCAAGCGGAACCTGGTACCCCTCGCTTCGACCAGCGGAGGAGTGCACCCTCCAATGAACTTGTCCGCATTGTCTGACTGGGGTAGATGATGACTATCGAGGCCCGTGCCAAATTTTGTCCGCAAAAAACGTCCTCCGCCCCAATTGCAAAATGCCCGTCCCAGACCAAATATGTTCGTTGCAACCAATTCCGGGAAGATGAAATCTTCGAATGGTCCCTGCGCCAAAACCATGCCTTTTGGCTGTTTTGTGGGACACATCATCATGCTTGATATGTTTTCTTACATGTGGGTGTCTCTTTTTCAGAGGACCCCCGCCCCCAGTGGCCTTCCTTTGGGTCTCCCTTCAAAAGAACATAAAAGGGGCACTCAATTGCCCCGAGGACCTTAATATATAGGTTAACTTGTTGAAAGCTTGACTAAACATGAACCGCTTTAATAAAGGATTTCAAAAGGTTGCTTCCTGGCTCGGTATACTTGCAATAAATATGGGTGTCTTTTTTTAGGGGGCCCCAAAACAATTGCGGTGTTCCTGTTGTTTTCCCTTTCAAGTCATCTACAAGGATACCGAAGAAAAGGGCACGCCCGTGTGAGCCATGGTTCAAGCTCCTTATAAGGACATGGTTCTTTCCTTACCAGGTTTCATGCTTGGTTGACGTTGGAAGGGGAGCAACAAAAATACATATTTTTGCAGATCAGTGGGGATTCCCCACTAAACTACAACAAGCAAAACTGTAACATGTTTCCCAACAACAACCATGCTAAGGTTCCTAACGAGGGGAATGACCATCCAAACCTTAACCCCAAGCAAAGGAACCGGTCTTTGGATCATGGCACACACACATCACTGTCTTGTTTCAAGCTACTTTTTCTTGGTTGACGTTGGAAGGGGAGCAAACAATTAAATGTTAGCAGTTAAGTGGAGATTTCCCAAAATAAGCAAACATGTAAAGTGTTTCCCAACAACGACCATGTTTTCTGCAGGTTTGTTTAAACCAATGGCGGATTATTCTTTTGCCCACAGCACATGTCAACGGTGGAACAACCCCTGACATGGTAGCAACTAAAACTGACTGTCTTTTTGCAGCCCTGCTAAAAATGATCAAACAACTAAAACAACACATGCCAACAAACAGTGAAGCAACGTTTCTAGGTCCTCGAGTAGAGAAGATAGAATAAGTTGGTGATCGACTTTTTTCTGTAGTCTATTTTATTATAGGGGAGCCCTCCCAACCAAAAAAAAGGTGAGAGAGGGCACCTAGCTGGGGGACCTAGCAAAACTGACTGTTTTTTGCAGCCCGGCTAAAAATGATTCAACTAAAAAACAAAACACATGCCAGGAAGAGTGAAGCAACGTTTGCACTTTCCCTAGGGCTTGAGGCGGCTTGAGGCCCGGGTCGGTCGATCTGTCGAATCGCTCGCTCGAAAATGGCGGGATTTTCGAGGCGCCGAGGTGGTGCACCAGCGAGGCGCACAAACGCAGTGGGCACTGGCCCTCGGTTTGCCGCTGGTTGAGGCGGGGGAGAAAAGAGCGGTGAAACATCCCGAACTTGTTTTTTAAGAGTGTGAATTACTAGGTCCTCCAGTAGAGAGGTTGGAATGAGTTGGTACCCGATTCTTTTCTGTAGTCTATTTTAGTAGGGGAACCCAAGAAACCCAACAAAGTAGAATAAGGGTACCCTTAGTTCTGTAGTCTACCCCCCCAAAATATAAGTAAAAGGGCCCTACTGGGGGACCGGAGTTTCCTTCTGACCTTTCGTGGGGTCGTTACCCAAAGTTAAGGGGTCATGACCCCTTTTCCTAGGGGTCATGGAGACTCTACCCACTTTCAAGATACGGATGCCATGAAAAGATGTCACTTAGCCACGTGAAGGATGGTTATCCAGGCAAGAGCTCTCTAAAAGCACTACTGTACTGAGGAGAAATCTAAGTGCAAGCAAAAAGGGCCGCTTAGAGCTTGTTCGTTTGGGGTACGGGAGTGTTCGATGCGCCAAGTTTGTAAGTTGTTTGCAACCTAGTTTATAACCCACCGAGAAGTGGCCCACGCGGGATTCCGGGATTAACCTTGGCTTTAAAGGGGTTCTACCCCAATCGACTAACTTACCCTTGTGCTTTAAAGCGTCGAATCAGCTGGACAGACCCAAATTGGTGTCTTTTCTTGAGTCGGACCTCCCTTCACAAGTACCAAAAAAAGAGCCGCACCCTTCACCCCAAAAACAAAGGACGGGAACCACACCCACCTCCAGTTGCTGCTGCGCCCTGGACAAGAAGAATCCAGTAGTGAAATTGATTCACTTGAAAACAAACCATGGGAATCTAAAACAAACACATTCATCTCAGCAAATGGAAGCCTTGCCTAGCTGCACAGGTCCATTTACACTAAGGTCTTGGGCCTGTTTTCGTCCATTTGCTTTTTCGCTCCCCGGAAAACATCAGAAACAAATCGACGCCCGCAAGGCATCCCAGGCAGGCGCGCTGAGGACCAAAAAGGACCCCCTGGCCCCCAAGCGCGCCGAGGACCGCTGATGGACCGCGCCAAGGCGCTCATCGGGCAGGTCATCCAAGGACTTCACCCGGCGATTCCCCAGCCGCAAGACCCTGAGATACCCAGGCGATACAGAGCGAGCACCGATCCCTTTGGCCCCTTCGTCCAGCTGGCGATTGGATGAAAAGAGGATACAGCCAGCCCCACGGTGGATGGACAAAAATGCTGCACCAATTGTGGTGGCTTAAACCTTAAGTTGAAACGTTGTGTTTGCCACTCAAGTGGCAACCAAACCCAATCAGTGTCTAAAGTCCAGTTGAACTCAGGAAGTTAATTGTTCCAGGGGCTGAATTCCCCATTATGTTCAATCATTTTTCTTTTCAAAATCCTGCCGTTTTCCCTGGGTTTCTGGAGGTTTTCTGGAAAGAAACAGGGATCCCTGATTTCAGAATGGAAACGGAAGGTACCCCTAGAATATTCCCGTTGGTGATTTTACGTCTCACATATAGTTGCAAGCAAGAATCCTTGGAAAGAATGGAAACGGAAGGTACCCTAAGAATTTTAGGGATCACTAATTGCAACTCGTTCCTTGCCGATCGAGCCAAAGTATGGCAGGGGCCAATGCACCGCACCAGCGACGCGAAGAAACAGTTTGCTGGTGCGATAAGTAGGAAATGTGGGAATGAACCTGGGGAGTCTCTGAAAAAAGGAAACCACCAGTTGGATGCTTTATTTTGTAAGGGTCATTCCAATTATCATTCCCTGTGCACCAGCAAGAACATTTGCCACATGGTGGGGGTGCTGTAGGGCCAAACCTTGCAAGGCTCGCACACAACCTGAGCTGTTTTCTCTCAGGCAGTCTCCCCTGTCTTGGGACTTCTTTTGGACGATCCAGGTCGGGGCCGACGAAGCCGTTGTACAGTGACACAAACAACTACTTCTTGGCACCCTATTACTTCCGGAGCTGCCAGTGGCTAGCTGCAATGAACATGTCCAAACTCTATTCCAAGCGTACTTCCTCACCTGAGTTGAACTCGCGGCAAGCCACTGGTTTACATTGTGGCCCGCTCGATCAATTGACTCGATCGGTTGACTTCAAATGGACCCAGCAGGGGAAGCCAAAAGGCCCAATGTCCAAAGGTCGCTCCGCTGTGACTAGGTCCTCCAGATTTGAGAGGTTAGAATAAGGGTACCCCCCATTTTTTCCGTGGTCTATTTTAGTAGGGGAACCCTCCCCACCAAAAAAGGGGAGAGAAAGGGCACCTACCTGGGGGACCTAGTTGAGCACCAGCAGAGACTCCCCAAAAACTTGGATTCGCTGAAGTCCCCTGGACATATGTCCAAGTGATAGATTCCCTTTCAACAGGTCTATGTCCAGTAAGTGATAGATTCCCCTTCAAATGGACCAGAAACCAAAAGGCTCCAAAGGTCGCTTCGCTTTGAGCACCAGGGCCAGCCACGAAGACACCCGGCCGCGGCGCTGATCGAAGCTCCTTGGCTTCCTCCGCGGCTCGGAGCTCTCATAGCCGCCGCCTCGATCGTTCGCCCCGCAAATCGGACGCCGGGTTCGGTGAGGACGGTGTCACGCGGCTCGCTCCAAATCCCGTGCAGGCTTAAATAAATATATATATCTATATACATATATATATATATATATTTACACGTACACACGCATAATAAGATATATATATATATATATTTACATACATACCCACATTGTCCCTGAAAATGGTCAAAACGAGACCATCCGTGTAACCAGGAGGAATGCCCGGGGGTTCTGAAACCATGATCAAATCCAAGGGGGCTAGTATAACCACCATAGTTTACTGAAGGAGTTTCATCATCCAAATTGGGTCCATCATTCTTTGTATACACACTTATTTAGATATCCATGTACATATACCTGGACCTTCCGGAGGTCCAAAATTTTAGGCGTTGGCCCAAAAACACGTGTTTTTTGCCTTTGGTGTGGAAAAATGCTTTTAGGGCGAAAAAACGCCGGCGGTCATATTTGTTTGCGCCGCGGTCGGGAATGTTCGCCTGTTGGTCGGGAATTTTTGCCTGTTGGTCGGGAATTTTCGCCTGTAGATTCGGGGAGATTGCGCTTAACACCCAAATTGAGCAAAAAGAGCCGTAGGCAAAAAACACGCGCAATTGCCTCAAAAAGCAATTCGTAGCGAAAAGGCGGAAATTTTGGCATGCAGGAAGGTCCAGGTATATATATATATAATATGTGTGTGTGTGTACATGCATGCCCACATTTTCCCTGACTATGGTCAAAGGTTGGCATATACTACCTAGATGGATTGTCTCAAAATGGGTCTGTCCGAGTCTTGTTTGAGGCTCGGTACCCCTTTTTGGTTGGCGCTGAAGGGAAAGCAAAGGAACACCCGCAATTTTGGGGGCCCCCAACCAAAAAAGACACACCCAAATAGGGCTCTCTTAAAATGTTGCTTCCCTTTGGGACAACTAACCAATAGAGCGGATGGCCATCAAACTTTTTTCGTTGCTAAACTTCTGGGGTCTGGGAAAAACTCTGTGTTCGGCTTTCCTTTGGGAGAATGAACAATATCGGGTTGTTGGAACCCACTATATACAATAAAGCATCAATGTCACACGCTATTCACCAATGACAGATTGATCCAAAATGCATGTTGGTTTCTCGCGAGTGCCTTCCGTTTCGCTTTTGGATAGGGCTCCTTGTATTCTATGTCCTCTTGAAACAGCACCGTAAGGAAAACACAACCAGCATTAGCACAAGAGGGATGTTTAAACCGCCCAACCTCAATATTGCAAGAATGATGTTTCCGTTTCTCATAGTTTTGTGAGTGGGTGTGGCACGTGTGGTTGGTGTACTCGCAAAATTTGGAATGGTTTGAAAGGAACATTTCGGGAAACCTCAAAAGCGCCAAAGGGAAAAAGCTCCGCTAAGTCTGGCGCTGGAATGATCCTGGCCTCCGCAGATGGGCACTGAAACTGGATCCTGAGGGCCCCACCCGCAAAAGGGTCCATGCGAGCGAACTCCTCCCACACCTGCACATCGACACGCTCGGACACGCTTTTGGCGTGGTAAGTCGCCGCGAAAACAAACACACCGAGAGCCACGACAATATGGATCTGTTCTTTGTGCGCCTTTTTAGGGGGACCCCACTTCTGGCGCCTTCTGGTTGAAGTGATTAAAGGGAAACCGTCCCCTACAAACAGAACCACCCATACAAGGCCTCCCAACAAAACAATCATGACCTGCTTAGGAAAATGGTGATCTTCGCTTTTGGACACGTAAGGGGCAAACATAACACGCAAATGTGACTTTCCTCCGATCGTAGCACGTTGTTTAATAGCGGCTCGAAACGTCGTTCCAAATATCTGGGCCTTTGCTAGTACCGACCTTTGGCCCCAAAGTGTGCACAAAGTCCCTGATCAAGCCATAGTAAACATTTGGAGATGGGAACTTGTCTGCTCGAGTTGTTCTATTTGCAGGGAGCCAGCAGCTGGTCATGCCAGCGGGCAAATTTGTGAAGCTCATGCCTTGGTCGACGTACCCTGGACCACCGCCACGGCAACATGTACTATGTTCACTATCCCCCCTACCTTAAGGGGGAGGGGGGTGGGGGGGTCCCACATTTCCACTTATTCAGTTGTTTTCTTTTTTTAAGGGAAAATGGAAACCTAAATGGAATTCCAGGGGTCACCCCCCTCCCCCAATTCCATTTTGAAAGGGGTGGGGATTGTCCAATGCATCAAACGCGGGCCGAGGGGGAGGGTCTGGGAAACCAATTCAATTCGCAAAACGGGAAAAGCCCGCCCAAGCAAAGGACCAAGATCGAGGGTCAGCTTGCTTTATCAAACATTCGTCTTGAAAGGGAACATAATATCCTTCCCATCCACTAACATAGAACCTGACTGGAGGTTTTTGGAAGACAATGTTCCTGTAAAATGGACCATTTCTCTGGTGATTTCCATGTTCATGGGGGAAAGAGACGCCTGCAGGGCAGTCTCATTGTCCCATCGGGTTGGTTGTCGAGTCTCTGGCCAGGAAAGCGGCCATGCTGATGGAAATAATCCCTTCGCACCACGAAAGGCCTGCATGGAGATGAAACCATAACTTTGGCTGGCATTTACGTAGGGGAATCGAATCAATCCAGGGTTTCTGAGGTGGTGCGAAATGGACTTCGCAACCATCCACAGTACTGTTGATGGACAGAATCCGCTCGCACCACTTGGGATGGGATGGATGAAACCCTACGATCTGGCGATAAACGGCCATCAACTGCAGGATGTTGCCCATCAACGCTAATCAGCTACCTCTCCGTCGGTGGTTTGGATTGGTGGTTAATGGGAAGCCAGTCCTAACCACCAAACCACCAATCAAAACCACCAATACCCCTCCCACCAACTATCATGGAAGGGCAAATTTCAAAAAGGCCCTTTCCAAGAGGAAAGTAGTCTTTCTACAGGGGGCCTGTGCACTTCCATGGTAGCTGGTGGGCATCTGGGCTGCGGGAGTGAAACTGCGGTTCCTCTTTGGAAACAAATGCAACTCGACTATGTGTGCTATTGCCCCCTACACAATGACTTTTTGACTCTTGGCTCAGTGGGAAAACACACGCATTCCCATCAGCAAGTGTAAATCATCGGGCCTTGGTTTGAGTACCCCCCCTTGTGTGGTGAAGGGAACCAAAAGGAAACGGGACCATTTTGGAGGGTCCGCTCAGAACAGCTACACCCAACTGGGGCCAAAACCAGTGCCACCCATTTGCCAGGGTGAGCAACAGGCTCGGAGGGCACCTCCAGGGGCCTGCGTGTGGTATGTCTGGCGCCAGCCCAGGCTGGCAAAACGAAGATACTTGTTCAGAGTTGGCTTTCCATCTTTTTAAGCCTAAAATGCGGGTGCGTAGTTTGTTTCCCGTCTTTTTGTTTTTGGCAAAACGAAAAACAAACTCCTAAAATAAATCCCCCTCCCTAAAATGCCATGGGCGTTCTGAGAGACCAAAGACCTCAGTTTGGGACAAATTCGAGGCCGCAGGACCCGATTCGTTCCGCCTGGACCACGTTGCCAATCTGCCGGAGCCGACAACTTCTCTGCAGCTCCTGCGGGTGAGACCATCCCTTGCTTGACGTTGGGTTTGGGGAGCAACAATTTTCAGATTTTAGCAGTTAAGTGGCTGGATTTCAACCACTAGGCCATAATAAGCAAAAATGTAAAATGTTTCCCAACAACGACCATGATCCGCCCTAAACATTGCCGAACGAGGGCCCCCCAATTCATCGTGATGTTGACCCCGTATTAATCAACCCCAGTGTACTGATAGGGGCGTGGAGTTGGCCCCTCCAAAAGTCGTCTGATTCCAACCACATGTCACCGAGGGACACCGGGACCCCTATGCGCATAAACGGGTGAGTTGATTCATATGGGGTCAACTTGTCATGGTTTTGTGGTTGCGTGATGGTTGGTTAACCATGCTTTTGTGGTTGGTTTTGTGGTGGATCACTGGATCACCGCATGGAGTGTGGCAGGGCTTCCAGCACCTCCCATCAAGTGCTGCGATGATCGATGCCCCGATTTCCCATGTTGCAAGTAAACCAACCACACTCAACCACGCAACCATGGCAACATCTGTGCCAAAATACGGTAACATTGTGCGCGGGGGGTCCGTTGTTCCCTAACTTGCAATATATATATATATATATATGGTATCCACCGTAATGTTAAGGGGGTCCGCAATCCCTCTCTCCAGCGCTCACGAAAGGGAATGGAAAACCCATACTGTAAATCGAAGAGGATTCGGGCGCCACTCGGGGGTGCAATGGGCACTTGTAAATGGTTTAAACCTTAAAAAACCAACGCTCTGAATAAAAAGGTTGCAAAATAGACCCCAAGGGTCCACCAGGCGGTCCCCTAGTTCCACGCTTCCGGGCATGCGGGAGCAGCAACACCAACATCCACCTCAACACGTCAGTCCTTAAACGTGGTGCTGTATTTCTCCTCGGCCGAGAAGGAACCGCCGATACGCTGGAAACTCGTTTCACGTCGTTTGGGTGCCCCACATGCCTCTGACAATGTCATCCTGATCTCCATTTTTTAGATAAACAGAGCATCTACAACCATATAAGGGATCCCAAGTGAAACACAAGTTGCAGTAACTAGGTCCTCAGTAGAGAGCTTGGAATACGGGTAACCTTTCTTCTGTAGTCTATTTTAGTAGGGGAACCCTTGCAACCAAAAAAGGGGTGAGAAAGGGTACCTAGCTGGGGGACCTAGATAAGATTAATCCCGCAACCTGCAAAAACGAAATGGATCCATGTAAAGAACCTGCGCGGTGAGCACGTGCTAGCACAGCTCCTGATTTGCCCAAATAGCATCCTTCAGATCTGGGCTCTGGGGACATTGCCATAGGCAAGGGCTTGCCACCCTTTAAAAGCCAACAGGAAATTAGCTGGTTACCTAGTAAATGCGCTTGCCTTACATTCGTTGGGTTATGGTTTGGGGAGGCAAGACAAATTGGCGGCTGCCCACCAATTGTCGGATTCTTTTGGTTTTGGAGGAGACCACATTTGACCAGCGAGTACCGAGACGGAAACCGGGTGAGCTCCAAACCGTACAGGAAAACGCATTTGGGATCGATGGTTCTGGTTCCATGGTGTATTTATTCATGGCAAAAGGATATTCCACCAGAACTTGATGCTTTTTTCGTTGGGTTTTGTGTGGGTTGGGTAAAAATGACACACCCAAGGAGCCCAATACTTGTCACCCCCCCCCCCAAGGCAAGAGAGTCACTTCTTGGGCCAAGGTTAAGCTCATACCGTGGATGGTTGCGAAATCCGCTGCTCGCACCACTGAACCCAGAGTTGAAGCCATTGTTTGTCTCTGGGCTTTGTGTCAACTACCGTGGAGTGTCGCGATCGACTCGACTGGCCAAGGCACCCCTTCCATCACCAGCTTCGCTTGCAGCGCGTTGATGTGGATCACCGCGTCCGCTTTGAACATGAGACGCGGCAGGGCCTCCATCACCTGACGCGCGGGGCATATGGCGATCCCATGTTGGGGGTGGATATTTTGGGGTGGATGAACATCCACTTGCCACCTATTTTGATGTTTATCAGGGGGTACAGGGGTTTGACCCATAGCCACCTGACCCCGACTTCGTGCTTCGAAGGCGACGCGCGGGGGACGCGCTCTGACGCGCTCCTTGCGACGCGCGTCGCGCAGAGACATGTGTTTAGTCGCTACAAGGAAATAGATAAGAGTAAAAAATGGTCGAAAGGGGGAAATAAATGACAATAAATGGTCTAAAGTACAGAGTTGGAGTGGAGCAAAAGCAGCATTGATGTCATTCCGTCAAGCTATCCTGGTGATGTAGTTGAAACAAATCTTCCAAACACATGCAACAGAAAACTTGAATTATTGTTAGATGGATGCCCAAAATGTTGAAACCGCGATTCAAGGGCCTGGGTTTTGGAGGTATGGAGGTTCTATACCACTTAGTGTAAGGGCTACATACCGGCTTGCAAGCGTATATTCAAGTGGTACACACGCATCCATATACCTCCCAAACCCAAACTAGAAAGTGCCCTTGAACCATGGGGGATGTTTACCTGGCGAGCCGCAGCGCATACGCTGGATGCCCCAAGCATCGCCAGGGAGCATGAAAACTGGATCCCTGGTTTACGACAGCTTGCAGTCATTTGCCAGGGTTTGGCTAGGTCCCAGGTGTGGCTCGAATCAACAAATCCGGCGAACCAGCTGTTCTAGCTGTACTGAAACACAGCAACACCAAGAGCCCATCTTGAAGCACCAACCACCCTGAGCAACCTGATTGGCACCAGTGAGATCATCTATGCTCCACCAAGCTGACCTCAAACAATCACCCACGCGAGAAACCAAATCCAGACAAAAACAACAAACAGCTGCAAACACCGGCGCAGCCCCAAAACACGCAAACCAACAAACAAGACAACACCCGGCAGCCAAGAAACAAACACAAAAACAGAAGCAGACAGAGAAAAAACAAAAAGACCACCGCCGGAGGGGCCGGTTTTTTCTCTTATGGATGGATCCAGTTGGCTTTGGTTCGATGCGCCTCCTGCACCGCCAGGCTATCGGACTCCGTCCAGGGGTCGTGCTGTGGCCCCGTGGGCGGCTGCGGGATGCTCAGGAAGTCCTCGTTGGACGGGGACGGGCCCCACCCCCGCGACCCCCCCCCTGGTGGCAGGCGCAAAGGGAGGGCCACCATTTCTTGATGGCTCGTTGGTAGCCTAGGTCCTCCGGTAGAGGTTTGTTAGAATAAGTTGGTACCAACTTTTTTCTGTAGCCGATTTTAGTAGGGGAACCCTCCCCCAAAAAAGGCTAAAATGGCACTACTGGGGACCTAGTAACGGATTCACTTGTTGCGAAACAACAAGGTTTTTCCCTTGGACCCACAAAAAGTGACACTTTTTGCAGTGGGGTCAACCGCAACCAAGACTTGTAGGTACTTGGAAAAAGCCATTTAGGTGTTTTTCAAGACCCCCGCCCCCCCTCCCCCCCCCCAAAAAAAAGAAGAAAAGAAAAGAAAAGAGCAAAAACAAAAAACAACAGTATGTAATGAACGTAAACAAGCATACTTAATACATGTATATAAATATATAATATGTAATGTATATATATATATTTATATTTGGTTTTCCGATGGTTCCCATGTTAAACCACCAAGCAAGGGGGAAGGTTTGTAAGGGGCACCCTCTTGTTCTACTGAATGCTCAGCCATCTTCACAAGTATAATAAACATGCAATACACCAACTAACGTCCTTGCAACCTCCCAGACTCAGCGGCCTTGCAAACAAAACGGCCACCTCGTTTGGTCGATTTTCAAGGGGCCCATCCCCTCAAGTTGAATCGAAGCAACTCTCTGGGAACCTGCGACCTTACCTGAACTTACTTTGTACATTGAACCAGGCGTGGCTTAAATGTTCCTTTAAAGGTGACCCCCGGGTGGGTTTTGCTACTGGACAGGAAGGTACCCCGAAACCAAGTTACTTTCCTGTAGATGCTGCTTCATGCCCACTCCAAAAAGATTACGCGCGAAAAATCAGATGAACAGAAGATTACCCGCGGGAGAAAACAAAAAAACGTTGAGAGCCTCAGTGAGACCCTGAGTGAGACCCTCAGCGGACCGAGTTCCCTATCCCAGGCGCGCAGAAGACCAGCAAACGGCCCTCAGCTCGGAGCTTCACCGCCTCGATCCGACAACAAAGCGCGAGGCGGTAGCCGGAGTAGGGAGGCCGCAGGTTGCAAGTAGAGTCTCTATGACCCCTCTTTCCTAGGGGTCATGACTCCCCTTGATTTTGGGTAACGACCTCATTTTTAAAGGGTCATGGAGACTCCAGGTACTTGCGTGGTGCATTCGCCAAGATAGTGATTTGTTGGCAACTTGGGTTATAGAACCTACCTATAAGTCCAAGTGCAGGTACCCTGGTTGTGAATAGGTTAAAGCCTATGGATAGTAACCACTTCCTAACCTGGCTGAACACGCAAGCAAGGGAATGAAGAAACCGATTCCCTCGTTTACAGGGGTCACTGCATTTCCCCAAATCAATTTACTGATGGTTTCCATTCAAGCGATCGAACAGGGAAATCGAGGAAATCCTAATTCACCAAGTCCTGCCTGTGATGTCTGGAGGGCTCTTTTTTTGGGCGATCCTCTTTGGACGAATTGGCAGGGTAAACCTCGTCGAACAAATGGGGGTATCCACTGCCCCGTTTGGGCATCGTTTCAAGGGAAACCAAGGGAACTTACCCTATTTAGAGACAACACCTTGTGACCCTTTCGTCCATTTTGGGCAAATTCTCCACATGGGACTCCATGTTGCAGAAGACTTGCTTTCGCAAAGATTGTTGAACACCTCCGCCAACCAACTCTTCAAAGAAGAGCCTTCGGGGTGGGCTTTGATTTCCTCCCGAAAAGGGACTCAAGTGACCCTGTCCGAATATCAATCGCTTTGAGCACAGCGACTTCAAGCCTCGAAAAGATGACTTCAAGCGTGGACTGCCCAAAAAGCAGTCACAGTCACAGCTCGAGCGAAACAAAACCCGTGTGCCACTGGATCGACTTACGCTGGATGCCCCTGTCATTCCTCCATTTGCTTAAGTCCCCTCGAAAAAATATAAATATTTCCAGTAGTGATAGATTCCCTTTCAAACCAACAGGGGAAATTGCTTTCTTAACCAAATGGAAGCATTGCAAGTGCACCAACGGCACACACAAAGCCGGGGTATATTCGCTTGCAGGTCTTTGCAGTGACATGTGTGACCTTAGGCCCTCATACCGTTTGGAAACAAATGCTAGGTCCTCCAGTAGAGAGGTTAGAATAAGGGTACGTTTTTTCTGTAGTCTGTTTTAGTAAGGGCCTCCCCCAAAAAAAGGGTAAAAGGGCACTACTGGGGGACGTAGAATGGTTTCTCCACTGCTGTAGGGATCGACCTTTTGCTCAGCTTGAAGCTACCCAGATTGTGGTAGGTAGGACTTGTATGGATCATGGACCAGTAGTCATGTTCTCACCCAATAAAAGCGCTCGACCCGTTTCCATTTCAACCATCCAACCCAAATCGGGCTGCAAAAGTTTGAACTAAGTCGACGCCAGCCTCTGAACGAAGGCAGCGAATGACATTGCAAACAAGTGAATCTGTGGTTTTGGACTAGTCAGTGCTTGGTGGCGATTGATCATCTCCCAAAAAGGTTGAAGTCCAAAGATCCAATAGCAGTTAGCAGCTAAGTAAATGCGCACTGTTGGTTTTCTCTTGAAAACCATCCACAACATGGGAACCCAATTTTTGAGACACGCCCGTAAAGCAAATATAATGATAGGCTTAGTTGTTTCTGGACCCAGAACTACAAGCTGATTCCCTGTTGGAATATTGACTAAACATGGGAACCCAAAAAGGGGAAAGCCGAAAGGTCATCTTTGGTCGATTCGCGTTGGGCAGGGAACCATAGGGAACCCCCCAAAATATGTTGGGTTTCCTTTGGGCGTCCCTTTGAAAGACACGAACAAAGGGTGCCGACCCTAAAAGAGACAAACCTAAAGAAGAGCGCTCCTTTCTTCGTGGAAAAACATCCTTTGGTTTTCGAAAATGGGATCCTCCGATTTCTGTCGACAGTTGAATGTTTGCAGCTCCATATGGGCGTGTCTGTTGTTTGTGGCCCCCCCCAAAAGTGATGGTTTTCCTCTTGGCTTCGCGCTAAAACCCACAAAAACGGGATCGGTAGCTTCAAAAGAAGACAGACCCCATATCGGCTCGGGTACGAGGAAATTACCCCAAGGGAATGGCGATCCCATAGCCCAAGGTGCCACAGTCTTCAGCGTGCTAATGATGGCTGCAGCCTGGCCGTGTCGCGGAAGTGTCGCGGCAACCTGGTTCCTTGACTAGGTCCTCCAGTAGAGAGGTTAGAATAAGGGTACCGTTTCTTTTCTCTGTAGTCAATTTTAATAGGGAATCCTCCCCCCAATAAAGGATAAAAAAACACTACCGGGGGACCTAGACATATCTCGGGGCTCCGAATTCCGAATTCCGAATCGCCAGGTTTCGACGCCCAAGTCTACTAACCGATCCAACCCGCCTTCACCCCAGTGGGGTCCGGATGCATTTGATGGGACCAGGACTGAGAGATCACCACCAAGCTGTCGCCATCGTAGGCCTCCTCGTGTAGGCCACCTGCAGTCGCATCAAAAACCATGCCAAAGGTGGAACTCTAGGTGTGGCTTTTGGAGGTACGGATGGGCTCTCTCTCTCTGCCGTTGCGTCCAGAGGGTCTTGACTCAGTACGGATATAATTTATGACTATACCACCCCACAGTTCAGCGGAAATTTCTAGGTATGGTTTTTCGAGGTACGGATGCCTACAAACCACCAACAGCTTGTGCGGCAGTTGCCTTACGGTGGATGGAAAGGAACCTAAGACTTTGCAAGCCGCCCAACCACACCATGCATTCATGGTAAACATGGCCCCACCCTTAATGGGGGTGGACCGGGGGGGGGGAGGGAAATTTCACATGGACGGGGGGTGCATAGGGCATTTCATTTATTTTGGGGCACTTTGGGGCCTTGAAACCCCCCAAGAAACCAAAGATGCAATACGGCGCAGTCTTCTGCGCAACCAATACGGGGTCCAACTTGTTTCCCTACCGCTTACGCATTTGAGAATCACTCACCGCCGTGCAAAGGAAAAGCACTATTATTATTTTTTTGGGGGGGTCCCTGCAAAAAAGGACACGCCCCTATTGAGAAGTGACAAGGTGATCACGCCTGGGGCCTCGCATAGGGCCCCCCCCCAATCTCAATATACGGCCCCTGATCCAATCGGGTCTCTTTGGGGGGAAAGTGGCCAGATGTGGGTGGCTCGTCTTAGATCTTCTTTCGAGGGTACCCCTTTTGGGTGGTTTTGAAGGACACCAAAAGAAAAACCTCCACACTGTCCACCAAGATTCACTCGGGGACATGTCCTTTTAATGGCTCAGGTGATCAACTCCCCAAACCACCAATCCAAACCACCAACTAAGGGTTACCTGAACATATGTTCTGATTAAGGTTCAAATTTAGTCTGCTCCATGGACAGACTAAAGTTGAATCTTGCGGAAAAAAAAAGAAAACAAACAGAAGTTCAAATTCAGTCTTCTCCAAAGAAAGACACGCAAAAAAAAGGAAGCTAGAGCGCTACCTTTGCCGCCCCAAATTTGTGTCGGATCCCGTTTTTGCCAATGCCAAATGCCAAATGCACAGCCGAGGCCACGGATGTCTTGACATCTCGGCCACGGGATCGGCAGGTTAAAGAGCGCCGTGTACGGCACCAGCCGCGCCTGCCGTGTCAGCCGCGTGGATGGCGCATGGAGGGCGAGTGGAGGGCGATGTGGGGGGGGGCCGCAAGGGGCTGGGCACGTATCCAATGCCCCCCTTTTGTTTTCTTCCTTTTTTGATTTTTGCGGGGTCTGTCTCACAGGAAGCCCAATTTTGGAGGTTGTATAGCAAGCCTAAAGGAAACCAAGCAGTTTTGAGGCTCACTCATAGTGCAGGAAATGAAGTCACAAACCTCCTGATATACCGCGAGTTTGCCATGGTTTTTGTGGTTCGGTCTAGATGCCCACATGTTGCAAGCAAGGGTGCCTGAGCACACCCTAGAGACCAAAGCAGAACCATGAACAAATTACCAGTTTGGGCCTAGGCGTGGTCCAGTCTGCAAAATCTTTGATGCCATGCCAGGGGACACATCTGTAAAGATCTGTGAATACCCCTTGGTATCTGTAAATATCTGTGAATGTCTGCTAAAGATGCCTCTTGGTATCACACAACAGGGAAGCATCATGTCACGCAGGTTGAAAGGTGCACCTGCGTTAGACATTCCCGCGTGAAACTTGGCGGTCATTCATTTAGGCAATGTCCAAGGGGTTAAAACATACAAGCAACCATAAGGGGGGTGCGGGCCAATTACAATCGACCCTAGAAAACACGGACCTTAGCTAAAATCCACACAGGGATTTGAAAGCAAGAGTTCAAATCCGGTCGATTCGCTTTGGGCGAGTAAGGGAATTTCTGAGGTGCCTTCATGGTTGAGCTCAATTTAGCTCCAGAGTTGCGGCGATCCAAATGGCATGTGCCATTCGGCATCCTGCTTTGATTTGCCCCCCCCCCCGCCCAAGAGGGTCCACATAACTCCCCTGAGCACATTTTCCGGAGATCCCCAAACCGGAAATAAGGAAACTAAAGGACATTGATGGGTCGTCGCTCGTACCCAAAAAGGTCTCTTTGAGGGGGACCTTGCTTTTGAATCCAAACCGGAAAGTTACGACATCCGAACCAGAACTTTGAGTGGTGCTAACTCGCATACGAGCTACCACTTTGCCATGTAGACGATGCCAAAGTCCCTTTTCCGGACAACTGTCCTCTCTTTGCGAAATCCCTCGAAGAAAAACAAGCGGCTTATCGCGCTTGCGTCTTGCGTCTTGCAACCCATTGCGAGCGCCACATTCCTTGAAAAATGGGTTGCCAAGCCACAGACCAAGTCTAGTCTACACTCTCTTCCACTTTTCCTGCTTCAAATGCCCCTGAAAAAATACCTTGAAGAACCAGGGGTTCTCCATCAAAAAAATCGCCAAGCGATCCCTGAGACGTGCTGACCCGTCCATAAAATGCAGAAGCTGAGGTGGTATCCTCAACATCCGGAAGTCCCCTGGATCTGAAAGCTGCCCCAAACCGCCCCAGAGCCTGGGCACAGGATTTGATTGCTTTCAGCTGTTGGGAAACTAGGTCTTCCAGTAGAGAGGTTAGAATAAGTTGGTACCAACTTCTTTCTGTCATCATTTTTAGTGGGGGAACCCTCCCAACCAAACAAGTTGGAAAGGGCACCGATCGCTGGGACCTAAACAACCCACACCTCTGTGTAGAGTCCCAAAATCGTCAGCGGCTTCCGCACCCGAGCCCCGCGGAAAGCTTCCCCGCGGTAGGTCAAGTTTTTTCTGCTTTAGGTTTGCAAACTGTGCGCCCTTGTTTGGGGGCCTCATATCCGCTTCGGCTGAGCGATGGCCCGGCACGTACAAGCAAGCCCCGCGGGGAAAAAAAAGAAAAAAAGCGGGCCGGCTTTTAGCCGCGCCTCCCGGGGTAACCGCCAGTGCGGATCCAGTGGCATGCGGCCCGCTGGCCCCTATTCCGTCTCGACCAAATGAGCTCTAGTTGCCCCTGATGGCGCTGATGGGACCCGGAAGTCAGTTGGGTGATGATGACAAACAAAAAGATGACATGGGAAATCGCGGCCATTCTTTTGGTTGGGTCAAACCAAAAACAAATGGTTCTGCGCAAATAATCTTGGTACAACTTAAAGAACATCGTTCGAGCCTACAGGTAGCCCCGGATGGGACCCCGGATTTAAGTTGGGTGATCACCTTTTGGCACCTTTACGGAAAGCCAAAGGGTCAGAAGGTCGATCCGCTTTCGAGTGAAAGGAGAGCAAAGGCCTGAGAGAGAAGATAGGGGTTATGGGGATTCTCTCGGGATGCATGATGCGGTGCACAAAAAGCAAGGGCTCAAATCCCCTTTGTGGAACCTGTCTCATGACCGACAGGAAGGGCCGGTGAGCATGTGACAGGCTTTCGTCTGTTGAGAGGATGGTGAACATGAAATTCCCCTGAACAAACCCCTCCATTTGCTGAAGTCCCCTGGAAAAGAATCAACAAAGTTCCAGTAGTAACATGGTTTCCCTTTAAAACCAACAGGGGAAAAATATATATGTATATCTTAGCCAAAATGGAAGAGCCTCTTCTTGCATTCCTGTTCGTTGCCGTCATGGCGATCTGTAACAGCTTGGCTCTGAAGCCCCCCCCCCGCCACCAATTTCCACTCCACGTTCGGAGGTGCGCCCTCTCAGGGTGGCAAGTCTTGAGCCAAAGATGCCGGCGGAGTTTTTCGAGTCGACGCGGCAAAGAGCTGCCTGGCGCTGAGTTTCGGGTGTACCACTCTAGTGGCTCAAAGAACCCGTGTATAGCCTCCCATAGCTGGACAACCACGGCCAGATGCCTGCACCCCTTCGAAAAGGGGCATTGGCTCTTCAGAAGCAAAGACAAATCCAACAGCCGAAACAGGCCACCTTTGGGGGAAAAAAACCTTTGCACTTGAGTGACCTCATTCATGCGAATCCACGCTGGTGAGGAGCAGCTTGCTTCGTCGACAGTTTGTATAGTTAGTGCCTGCCTCCGCCAACGCGCTGGTTGGCTTGTAGAGAAAGGTGAGAAGGGACATATACTCACTTGCTGAGTGGATGGCCCAAAAAAAGTTCAAACTATATATTTACCACTAAAATGGTCCAAACCCAAAAAGTTTAAATTTCATGAACTCAGGAAGTGAGTAGAAGACCCCCTCGTTCAACACACCGATCCCGACATGGCAATGCCGTCACACAGATTTGTGCACCTTTAACCCACCTCTTCGCCTGGGTCTGGAGTCGGTTTTTTTTTGCCTTCTGAAAGATAGGAAGCAGTATCCTGAAACCAGTCAAGGGAGAATATCTATGTAACCTGCTGCAGGTACCGTGGCACCTCTTGAAATAATTGTATAACCTCTAGCCTAGCCTTGGGCGAAATTCAATGAACAAGCAAACGTGTTTGGTTTCAACCATGGCTCCAAGTGCGATGTCTCAATGTCGCAACCAACCGTAGAAGCTTCCGACTTCCGACTGTCAGGCTTTTGCTTGAGGCCGGGACCTCAAACTCGACGACCCCGTCGTCCGATACCTCTGCTCTCCATGTAGCTTTGTGACTGCATACGTCAACAGGGGGAACCAAAAAAGGGTGGGGTTCCCTCTAAACAGCCACCAAAGCATTGCTTTCACTCAACAAAAGCACAAACACCATGGCGTGCAGGCCGCTTTGAGCCGAAACTTGCGGAAATGCATCGTCGGCCCCGCTGTTGCTTGACAATCACGAGGGAAACATGGTGGGTGTCCCCAGTGAAGCCCGGTAAAACCTCCAATTTGTTTTGCTGGAATTTTGGTAAATCTTTGCCAAACTTCCAAGTGTTACAGGTTTATGTGATGCTCAACCTGTTTGGCTCAACATTTCAGGATCCCCTTTTGCGGCCGCCAAACCAAAAGGCGACTACAAAGGTAAGCTCGGCTGGCAACAGAGTTGTGTCTGCTTGGGTCAAACTGACCTCATCCAAATCTGTGGGAATTGACTTAACACGAGTGTGAGCCTTCGCCTTCCTAAATGTTTTTTCAGAAGCTCCCAACAAGCTGAGCAACGGAGTCAGCGCTGGTGCTAAATAGGTGTCTGGAAAAGACGAAGAACTATTCATCCGCTTTCAGATTCCAGTTGGGAACGTGAATTCATTATGGGCTGACACCTCCGATCGCTTGTTCGTTTCCTGCAACAAACATATCGTACTACCTCTACTGGTGATAAATTCCTTTTAAAATCAACATGCCAATAATAATAAAAATACATTTTTCTTTAAGCAAATGGAGGCAAATCATTCAGCACCCAGTGATCCTTTACCGCCAGCTGTCCGGTCGGCTTCTAAGTGGCACGACTGGCGACCTTGTGCCGCTGGATCGAATTCCGAGAGCTTCAGGCGTGGAAGCTGAGAAAAGGGTGGCTCAAATGCGAAAAAGGTGGGTTAAATGGAAAGCCAACCCCATTTTTTTACTAAAAACCACTAAAAACTTGGAATCGAATGGCTGGGAAGCACCAAGTATCTGTGAATATCTGTCATTTGTTGGCAGTCATTGATTTAGGCATTGTCCAAAGGGGGGGGGGTTAAGGGCAAATTGCAATCTCAGTTGCACCTTAAAAGCCAGACAAGAAAGGTGAACCTTTTGGGGCCATGACTAAACAGGGAACCCAAAAAGGAGAAACGACAAGGCCAAAAGCTCGATTCGCTTTGAGCAAACGAGCCGTGCCGACCGTTGAAACATGGCTTAAGTCATTTCCGATCGAGCGGATTGGCCAAGCAAGGAAGCTGCAAAGAAGTCCAAGCCCAAAAAGTATCGAGTCCAGGAACTCAGGGAGTGAGTTCATGAACAACACAGAAACATCTTGTGGATCCAGGACATTTGTTCAGATGACCAGCTTTAAACAAAAAACACCCAGCATCCTCTGCCTCGTGCCCAGGAAGCCGCTCTTGAAAACCACCGCCTAGTGGCAACTCTTGAAAACCACCCGCGCCGCGAAGCTGACACGCTTGAAACCTCACCTAGGTCCTCCAGTAGAGAGGTTAGACTAAGGGTACCAACTTTTTTCTGTAGTCTATTTTAGTAGGGGAACCCTCCCCCAAAAAAGGGGAGAGAAGGGCCGTGGGGACCTAGTGACAATCTTCGTAACAGCTGGCCAGCTGTTTCACCATGGTGCGAATTCAATGTTCAAGGTCGTTTGGTCTGAGTTGGGTCGCTGGCAGTCGGTTCGAGCTAAAACCTGGGGAATTGTGCCAGAGATCTGGCGCGAAGCCCTGCAGCTCAAGCTTCGCATAACTCAGCTGGCCATGGGTCAAAAGCCAAACCGTCCAGTGAACATCCGATTCAAGCCAACCACTAAAATAGGTTCTAAAAAGGGTGGTTCACTTACCCCAAAACGGTACCATTGGTTTTGACCCACCAGGTGGCTTTGAACGGATCTCCATGGGCCCTCAAATGGCCACGCTGTCTTGTTGGCTGCGGAAAAATAAACACCCGAAACGGGGCTCTCCATGCTCCTGGGCTCAGAATGGAGGCTTGGCCAATCCGAATTTCCATAATCCCAGGCAAGCCACAAAGGCGACCGGTTCCTTGCGTAGCCGCAGGTAAGAATTGAGGATTACCCTTTGAACAGCCCCAGTTTCAAAAAACTCTGTGGGAAATGACAGGCTGACACTTTGATCCAGGCATCTTTGCAGGGCCCACGAGTTATGATCGGATTCAGGAGCACTAAACATTTCCAAGTATAATGCGACCGTTCGAAGCCTTGGCTAGATATGAACAGAAAAAACAACAGCAAACGGCGAAAAGCTAACACATCGAAGCTTGCCTTAGCATCCACACAAAGACCACCATACGGCAAAGGGCTGATTTGCTTTGAAGTGGAAGGATGGTTACGAACTCGCCTGACAAAGTCCTGGAACTTTGATTTACAACCAAAATGGTTCAAACCCAATAAGTGACTAAAGTTCCGTTGCCAAACCAAGTCTGAACTTATGGTCCAGCCCCCAAAAACCACTAAAATCCAGGATCTCGGGAAGTGAGTAGGGGTCTATTTCCAATACTGTGGGTGGACGAAATCCTGCACCACTTGGAAACCATTGTTTGTTGGTATTTACGCGGGAATCATCATTCCATGGTTTCTTAGGGGGTGCAGGATTTCGTCCATCCACAATATGACCTAGGGCTGGTTTGAAGGCAGTGGAAGCCTTCTCGGGTCTTTGGATGGCCGAAGACATCTCACCAACTCCAAACCTTCCGTTTGGTTAAGACCCCTGGAGAAAAAAATCATCCGGTAGTGATAAATTCCTTGTAAAACCAACAAGGGAAATTAGAAAATAATCATAAGCGAATGGAAGAAACACTGACATGGGTTCTCAACATACCCTTAACCCTGCCCGGATGGGACCCAGAAATAAACTGGGCTGTTCAAACCGGGGGGTTGGCCAATCCTAATGCAAAATCCCTATAGGGAAGCCACTTGAATGGGGACCCCTTTCGTAACCCAAGGTATGGACTAAGGATTACCTTTGAACAGCCCGGATAAAAAGTCAACCTTTCGAAGCCATGACTAACAAATGGGAACCTCAAATTGGGAAACAAACAGGTCATAAAAAGGTCGACCAAAGAAACACAAAGGACCTGTTTATAAAAGGTTAGCCTTTTTTGACCTCTACTAAAAATGGTTCCCAACAAGGGAAAACCAAAAGGTCAAAAGGTCGATTCGCTTTGAACGACTGAGAAATTAAGACTCGCGCCAGGGGACCGATTGAGTCTTTCCACGGGCCGCTGGATTTCTTGACTTTTCCCGGTTCGGTGAGCCTGCAAAAAGAAGCTCACGGACAAGACCAACTGTATTAACAAAAAACAAGTCAGCCCAAGAAAAACAAGTCAACCCAAGAAGTCAAGCCAAGAAGTCAAGCCAAGAAGTCAACCCAAGAAGTCAAGCCAAAAAGTCAACCCAAGAAGTCAACCCAAAAAGTCAGTCAGCCCAAAGAAAACAAGTCAACCCAAGACGTCAACCCAAAAAAGTCAACCCAAAAAGAACTGAATTTATTTTTTACAAAAAGATGACGATTGATTCCGAAACGGACCTCAGGCGCCTCAGGGAGTGAGAACATGTTCAGAATGCAAGTTTCCGAACTGCGTCAGAGCTCTCCGCCATGGACAAAGAGCTCTCCTGAGCGGCGAAGGGGATGTAAACCCTTCCTCTGGGCCCCGAGATGTCCTCTTCTGCTTTGGACAAATCACCTTTTGGGCCAATCTAAAGTGAGCCTCCTTTTGATGTTCCATGGGAAAATCTAGTCCGCCCTTGCATGAAGGACAGCTGCCATGCACGCCAAATCGGTTTCCCCGTGTCAGAACCAACGCCCGAAGTGCAGATTGTTCCGCTTTTTTGGCCGTCCTTTCTCGCAAAAGGTTTGAATACCCAAGTCGCGGGCAGTGCCCCATGATAGGCTTTGTGTGCTTCTTGTCACAGAAAATGAGTACCTGGACCATGGCACCTGAAAGACAATATCCATCTGTAAGGGTCTGTTGCGGGGTCCAGGTACATCCAAAAGCTTCATTCTCACAACTCGTTCTCTGGTACATGACTTGCTGAGTCGACTGGCGAAGCTTCCCCAACCTTTGTTGGCCATTGGCCATGGGAGAAAAAACAGTAGGCGCCCGTCTTTGAGAGCTGATTCTGAAGGGAAGATCGACCTTTCACCCATTTGCTGAAATGATTATGTTGTTTCTTTGACTCTGCTGGTGTTGAAAAGAATCCATCGCCACTGGTACGATAGGGGGTTTGGCGGCTTCGAAAGCTTCCATTTGCTTTCGGATACATGCCCGGGAAGAAAATTCCAGTGGTGATAGATCCCCTTCAACACCAGCAGGGGAAAATAAACAAACATATTCATTTCTGCAAATGGGTGAAAGATCAACCCCTATCGTACCCGATTCTACAAGCAAACCCTCTTGATACTGTGGATGGACGAAATCCCACACCACCTAAGAAACCCTGGAATGATGATTCACCTGTAATTACCAACAAACAATGGTTTCAATCGTGGTTTCCAAGTGGTGCGAAATGGATTTCGCAACCGTCCACAGTAGGTGACTTTGGATGGGAAGTAGCCTCAAGAAAAGGGGCCGCAACTGAGAAGTCTGCTAGGTCCTCCAGATTTGAGAGGTTTGAATAAGGGTACCATGTTTTTCTTCTGTAGTCTATTTTAGTAGGGAACCCTACAAAATTCTGACTAGGTCCTCCAGTAGAGAGGTTAAAAGCAGGGTACCAACTTTGTAATCACTGTAGTCTATTTTAGTAGGGAACCCTCCCAACCAAAAAAGGGGTGAGAAAGGGCACTACTGGGGTACCTAGGTTATACCCCGAATCGACTAACCACTTACCCTGGTGCCCTAAAGTATCGAAGCCAGGTGCTGGAAACCTCGATCTTGAGACAAACCCAAATGGGGAACCCTGTGGACCTAGTCTGAGGGCGTTCCCCTCTGAAAGTGCTAAATCCCCCCTAAAACCAAGGGGATTGATGGTTCATCCGGGGTCAACATTACCCTCAAAAAAACACGGGGGCCGCAGCTACGTCCGGCTCTCCCACCGCACCGAAGCGATTGGAACTCTCCGGTGCGGCTTCGGCACGCGCGGACTCCGCAAACTCCACCAAGGGCATCACCTTACCAGAGCCGTGATCGTTCGATCGCGCGCGTCTAGTGGGGGGGGGGTGAGCAACTGGTCGTTTTATGTGGGGCATCGAATTTGAATTGGACTCCCCAAACCCCAAGAAGCGGTTGTTTTTTGCTCCGCAAGGTTGAAGGAAACCCCAACAAGTTGTTGTTGTTTTATTTTGGCATTGCCTTGCAGAATTCCTGGTAGCTCCTTAGCTCCTTAGCACCTTCTTTGGGAGCAAGTTTGGATACCCCAGCTCCTTGGCTCTCTTCCAGCCACCAGCTAGTCCTTTTTGTTTCTTTTTGGGGGGGTTGCCCAAAACGGACACTCATCGGGGCTTGTGAGGCGTTGTCACTGGAACTTTCAGGTATGGGTATTGTACAGGTATGCTTTGGGCCATATGCCACTCAAACGCAGCGGTATCTACGGGTAAAAGCACCCATAGCTCCGAAAGGCTGCAGCTCAAAAACATGTACCAAAACGGCGCCTTGGTAAATTCCATAGACTAACACCTGCGTAAGCCTAGCTCTTTAATTTTGAGCCATACCCATTCCCCAGCCTGAAACCATACCCCAGAGGGTCCAAGTACCTTCTAAGGAGGTACTTAGACCCCCTGTTTACTCCCCAAAAGCCATCCTCAGGAGGAACCAAGGGACCCTCTGGGTACCTGGAAATGCCGCGGCTTGGATCCCGTTCAAGCAAGGGGCGAAGTCCTCCACCACGCGGTGACCGCCCTTCTTGGCTTCGATCCACATCAGCTCGCGCCTCAAAACGAGGCGCTCCAAGGACTTGGAGCGTCGGTGGCTTCGGAGTGGGACCCAGAAACTTCCATTTGCTTCAGCCCGCTGGAAAAAATGTCCAGTAGTGATAGAGGATGATAGAGGGACATATAAAAATATGTGTATATATATACCCAGGGCTTCCCAGTTACTTGTATAGTAGGTAACTGGGCTCCAGCGACGGATTTGGCGGAACTAGGGCCGGTTACCTGTTTTTTAGGTAACCAGCGTAGGGGGGCAAATTGGTTCCTTTTTGAGAGTTGATGTGCTGTCGCCTGAGCTTACGCGCGGGTCGGCATAGTGTTGGTGAGGGTTGATTTACGGCAGGCGCTGGGCTGGTTTAGGGCTGATTTGAGGGCCGTTTAAACCTTTTTAGGTTTTGGATGACATTGAGTTCAAGATTGGCTTAGGATGTATTCAATTTGGATTTAGGGCTCGCGGAAATCTAGATGGCTCATAGCATAACTTAGCCCTTTTATGCTTCACAACTCAGAAATACACACACACACAGCATTGTTCCATGGAGTTTGGAAAGACGTCGCTGCAACTAGAGTGAGTAGTGTACAGCGCATATATCTCAGGGCAATAATTAAATATCACAGTCCCCAAAAACTACAACTTCTACAGCAACCATAGCCGGTTAATGCCGCCTCTCAAAACAACGTTCAGTTATTTACAAAACAAGTTTATATTTGGAGGCAACAATCGTAAATGTATGTAGACATATTTCTCACCGAAGTGACTGGGCAAACCAGATAACCGCAGCTGCCTACAAAACACCCGCCACAGTCGCACAACACACACAACAAATCAGATCCGCGCACACACACACACACACACGCCAAAAGAACCCCGACCATACTTGCACATTGCGCAGCAAATGAGAAGCAACCCAAGCAGCTAAGCAACTATGATAACCACACTCATGCCGCACACACCAACAAAACTTGCACACCCTTCATCACCCGCTAGAACCACACACTCCAATTCGCCACAATCAAGCACCACACAATACGTGATGAACATTCCTGTCAACAAGCAGCCACTCACCACACAACAAGTCACAAACACACGGACCGGCTGAGTACCTGCCAAAATCACATACCACACAACAAAACATAATCACACCTGCCAACTGAACACCGATCACATTCACACATCACACAAGCAAACCGTCAGCACCCGGGCCAAATGCCTACAGCCAGCGACCACACAACAAACAAACAACCCATTCGCCAGGTGAACACTCGCCAAACTAACGAACCATACAGCAAACTCAAAATGCACGGCCACCAGCTGAAGACCCGCCATACTCGCGTACCTAGTCGCCCTCTGAATACACCCATAATTTCACATGTGATGAACACCCGCTAACAAAGCACCCATCGCAGTCACGCACCACGTGACAAAGTAGAACAACTCACGGCAACTGAGCACCCTGCACACTTGCGTAGCACACAACCAATGATAAGCACGCCAGCCACCTAAGGCACCGCGCAACGGATGAACTGAACACGCGCCAACAGGCGCAGTCATACACCGTGCAACCAAGTGACAACCACACCCGCCAACAAAGCACTCGCTTGAGTCACACACCGCATCAACACATAACAAACAAACACGCCCGAACGCCAGCCATACTCACACCGCGCACAAATGACAAGGTTAAACACCTGCCACACTTACGCACCACGTCACAAACGCCACGCCCACGCCCCAACTAAGCGCCTGCTAGAGTCACTCACAACACAAGAAAGGGCGCTGGCACCGGCCAACTGAGCGCCAGCTACAGCCAAACACCACATAACGAATGAATAAGCACACTTGCCAACTAGGCACCGGCCATGCTCATGGAACCACACAGCACATTTCAAGCACTCGGGCCAACTGAGCAGCCGCCACACCAATACACTGCACAACAAATGAGCAACGCACGCCAGCGACAAACGCAATGACAAGTGCTGCATCAGGAAAACCTTGCCAGCGCAAGAAGGGCGAATCCGGAACCGTTAAAAAAGGCCCGGAACCGTTAATCCGAAGCAGCGAGCTGGCTATGCAACAAAAAAGCGGTCTACCAGCCAAGACTTATACACATGTTAATGATTCCAGGTAAATTCCAAGGCACAATTGCAACAACCTGAGGTTATTCAGCCGAGTCCGTAACACAATCCTGCGCAGGGTTGAGGTTCGAGGGGAAGTTCGGGCTCGTGTTTTGCGACGATCGGTTTCAATTTCATTCGGGTTCGGCGTTGACCTGATTATTTGGGGGGAACAGCTTCAGGCGCATGGTGTGTCGTGGGTTAGCTTGCCGGGTGTTCAGTTGGCGGGCGCAGCGCTTACTTGCCGCTAGATTCACACTAGATTCACCCCAAATTTCCATTGTACTTGAAAAAATGCTGGAACCCACTGTTTTCCTCATGAAAGTCATGGAGCACGCGGTTTTTCACCAAATTGGGCCCGATTTTCCCTCTAACGGTTCCGGTCCCTACCTAACGGTTCCGCCCCCTTTTTTAACGGTTCCAGGCCCCTTTTTAACGGTTCCGGGCCCTTTTTAACGGTTCCAGTTTCGCCCTTCTTGCGCTGGCAAGGTTTTCCAGATCCAGCACTTGTCATTGCGTTTGTCGCCGGCGCGCGTGGCTCATTTGTTGTGCGGTGTATTGGTGTGGCGGCTGCTCAGTTGGCCCGAGTGCTTGTAATTTACTGTGTGGTTCCATGAGCATGGCCGGTGGATAGTTGGCAAGTGTGCCTATCTATTCGTTATGTAGTGTTTGGCTGTAGCTGGCGCTCAGTTGGCCGGTGCCAGCGCCCTTTCTTGTGTGGTGAGTGACTCTAGCAGGTGCTTAGTTGGGGCGTGGGCGTGTCGTTTGTGACGTGGTGCGTGAGTGTGGCAGGTGTTTAGCCTTGTCATTTGTTGCGCGGTGTGAGTATGGCTGGCGTTCGGCGGGCGTGTTTGTTTGTTATGTGTTGATGCGGTGTGTGACTGAGGCGAGTGCTTTGTTGGCGGGTGTGGTTGTCTTTGGTTGCACGGTGTATGACTGCGGCGGATGCGCGTTGGCGCGTGTTCAGTTCATCCTTTGCGTGGTGCCTTTGGTGGCTGGCATGCTCATTATTTGTTGTGTGCTATGTAAGTGTGCAGGGTGCTCACTTGGCGTGTCCCTACTTTGTCACGCAGTGTGTGACTGCGGCAGGTGCTTTGTAGGCGGGTGTGTTGATAACTTGTGTGAAATCATGGGTTCATCCAAAGGGAGTGTTTCAACATGTATTATAGCATTTGAGTGTGGAGGTGGTGTGCTTTGATAATTCACTGTAGGCACGCGCCTGTGGTGGGTCTTCAGTTGATAGCCGTGCATTTTGCGCTTGCTGTTCGGTTCGTTAGTTTGGCGAGTGTTCAGCTGGCGGATGGGTTGTTTGTCTGTTGTGTTGTCGCTAGCTGTAGGTATTTGGCCCGGGTGCTGATGGTTTACTTGTGTGATGTGTTCAGTTGGCAGGTGTGATTATGTTTTGTTGTGTGGTATGTGATTTTGGCAGGTACTCAGTCGGTGCGTGTTTGTGACTTGTTGTGTGGTGAGTGGCTGCTGGATGAATCCCGAATCCGAGGATGGGGCCTTCCCAGTCCCGAATCTCGAATCTCAAATCCCGAATCCTGAATGCGGATGGGGGCTTCCCAGTCCCGAATCCCGTATCCCAAATCGCGAAATGTGACTCGAGTCCCGAATCCCGAATCCCGAAACCCGAAAATGTGCTTCGAGTCCCGATTCGCGAATCCCGAATTCCGAATCCCAAAAATGTGATTCGAATGCCAAATCCCGTATCCCGAAATGTGATTCGAGTCCCGAATCCCGAAGATGTGCTTCGAGTCCCAAATCGCGAATCCCGAGCTCAAAATCCCCAAAATGTGATTCGAAATCCCGAAAACGTGATTCGAGTCCCGAATCCCGAATCCCAAAAATGTGATTCGAGTCCCGCATCCCGAACCCGAATCCCGAAAATGTGATTCGAGTCCCGAATCCCGAATCCCGAACATGTGATTCGAGTCCCGAATCCCGAACATGTGATTCAAGTCCCGAATCGCGAATCGCGAATCCCAAAAATGTGATCCGAATGCCGAATCCCGAATCCCGAAAATGTGATTCGAGTGATTCGAGTCCCGAATCCCAAATACCGAATCCCGAATCCGGAAAAAGTGCTTCGAGTCCCGAATCGTGAATCCCGATTTCCGAAGAATCCCGAATCCCGAAAATGTGATTCGAGTCCCGAATCCCAAATACCGAATTCCGAATCCGGAAAAAGTGCTTCGAGTCCCGAATCGTGAATCCCGAATTCCGAAGAATCCCGAATCCCGAAAATGTGATTCGAGTCCAGAATCCCGAATCACGAAAATGTGATTCGAGTCCCGAATCGCGAATCGCGAATCCCGAAAATGTGATTGTGATTAAATCCCGAATCACGAAATTGGCAGCGACCTCCGGATCGCCACTCATCCCCACCCAGCATACAAAGGGCAGATATGCACCACGAACAGCTTGCTAACAGGCATAACCTGGCACGCCAGCAGGCTTCATGGCAAAACTAATGCATGGCTTTCAAGGTTTCTATTCCGGATCCCCCGACCAAGCGGATTTACCAAATTCAATGCGCCATGGATCTCCCAAACCTGTTTTGCATTGAACACATGACACAATCCGGATCCAGCCATGATTTTATTGCTGTGTGTCTCAAACACACTTCTATCAACAGTGAAAACATGCTCCTCATTGATTGCATGCATTGCTTTGAGCACCAAAATCCTATTAAGGGCTCTGAATGCACCAGTCGCACAACCCGACAACGCAAAATATACTGTTTTGGGTCTGTTTGAAGTCTGTTTGGCCCGGTTCCTGGAACCAAGTTCTATGACCCTGCTATAGCGGGAACCAAGCTGGTTCCTGACATATAAGTTACCGGAAGCCCTGGGTATATATATATATATTCTTAAGCAAATGGATGGAAATCAAAGGTGATCAGGATGTGAACCCGCCCCAAAACACAGGGTAGGGGGTCACAGGGTAGGGGGTCCATGTTGAAGGGGGGCATGCTCTTGGCAAGGCGGAACGTTGGGTCTTGGTAAATGGCTTTCACGGGGTTTCCCCGTTAAGGGAAGCGACTGAAAAGACCTATGAGGGGCTAATAGGCTTCCTTATTTTTGCGGGGTCCCCTCTTTGCCTGTGAACCCTAAGAACCATGGGTTACCAACTTGTTCTGTCTATTTTAGTAGGCAAACCCTCCCCCAAAAAAGGGGAGAGAAGGGCACCTAGCCTAGCTGGGGGACCTAGTTTATACCACTCCAAAGTTCAGCAGGAATTTCTAGGTATGGTTTTTCGAGGTACGGATGCTTACAAACCACCAACAAGCTTGTGCGGCAGCTTGCTTAAACTGGAAAACAAACACCTAGTTCCAGCAGTGATGGGTTCCCTCTAAACACCAACAAGGGACAGTAAAGAAACTATTCTTAAGCAAATGGATACAAGGGTGCTGGGGAGGTAAACCAACTCTCCCGTAAGATCTGCAGCTCGTCGGGCCCCAGACCCCTTGCTGGCCGCTTGGATCTTGCCCTTGGTCGCGCGAAAGTCCACGACCTGAAGGAGATGGATGCGGCTGAAGGTTGACTAGCCAGTTCATGAATAGGGGCTTTTGGCGCCTCCAAAACTCCAATAGTGCTTGATTCCCTCCTACTGTTGACCCCAGATTTTAATGAACCAACCAGTTTATGATTAGAAGGAACTCCAGTCGTGATAGACTCTCTTTAACCCAACAAGGAAAAACAAACAAACATATATGTTGAAGCAAATGGAAGCTAGATTCCCTCCTACTGTTGACCCCAGATCATCAACCAACCAGTGTATTAATAGGGGGGGTGGCGTTTGGCCCCTCCAAAGTGGTCTGATTGCTCGCATTTCACCCAGGGAAAACCCCATATTGATAACCTGGGGTTATCTCATATGGGGTAAACATCAACCCAGAAAGGATGCATTTGAACCCGTACCACACCGAACCAATGGACCAAGCACCACCAAAAAAGTCAGTCCCTCTTCTCTTACGACATCTTTGGGGAACCATCAACTTAGTCGAGGCTTTTGGGGTCATGCACGCTCAAGCAGCGATTTCAATGGAGACAAAGCACCAGCAAGTTGACCAACTGGGAGGATAATTCCTGTGTTATAGCTAAATTAGCCTTGGGGTATACAGGGCTGGTCCACCTGGAAGGATCATACACGACCATTATACTAGGCTGGAATTAGAACCCCGGCAAAAAACATATTTTTTGCCTGGTTAGTGGAAAACAAAGGGGCCCCAAAAAGGCAAAAAAAAAAAACAAAAAGGGGAGCTACTTCTGGGGAAGCATAATGATTGCTAAGCCATGGCCTTTAGGCCTTGTTTGGCCCCTGAGTTTTGACCATGGCTCCATGGTCGACATGAGAATTGCCTCCAGATTTGAGAGGATAGAATAAGTTGGTACTATTTTTTCTGTAGTTTACCTTAGTAGGGGAACCCAAGAACCCAAAAAAGGGGAGAGCAGGGCACTACTCGGGGACCCAGCTCTTCTTTGCGGCCAAAAAGAAACCCTGCAAAGCACCTACACTAATCCAAACCAGATAGGGGGACCCCGAGAACATGTGCCGCACATGTCAGGGATACGACAACGAGGCCCTGAACAAGACTCCGGCCCGGCCGGAAGTTGCTGAACTTCGGAGGTGTTAAAGGGACCCTCACTCCCTGATCCTCTGAGGTCCTAAGTAACTGCCCCAACTCTTTACGGCTTTGGGTTTGGTTCTTGCGAAAATGTGAGCGTTGCCATCAAAATAGTCCAAACCCAAAACGTGACTAAAGTCCACGAACTCAGGAAGCGAGGACATGGAACACCAAACGGCAACAAAACAAGCGGGAATCTGCAGAACAAATAGATCAATCGAGATTCGGGCACCGTTCAGAACCCTGGAATGCTTCGATTCCGGAACGTAAATACCTGACAATGCTTGTTTCTACCCTTTCTGTGGATGGACGAAATCCTTTTAACCCTAGAAATATGCTTTCAGCCATGGTTTCCATTAGTGTGAGACTCGCGGATTCGGTCCATTCACAGTAAGGCTTGGCAACCTCCAACCGCGAACCCAGACGCGCCTCATCATCTTCGACCAGTGCTATGGCCACCTCAAGTCGAATGCTCGGCTTCGGCCGTGGGAATGGAACAATTCTGGGAGTGCGTCTTTGACTTCCACAGCCCCTACTCCCTACCCCCCCGAAAAAGAACGGAAATGACCCAATTCGGATGAGAATCCTTCGGTAAATGACGGTTATATTCACCCCCATTGTTTTAATGGCTGTTTGACTTCCACTTAAGCCTTAAGGCAGAAGGCACATCAGGCCCTTGCGGAATGCACTTCCGCATTGTCTGTCTGTCGAACCCTTCCACTCATTCCAGCATCCATAGGGCTTCCCCGTCCCAACTGGTGCAGAATCTACCCCACCAAAGATCACAGCCCTGCCTGCCAGGCGCGAATGCGACTCGACAGCACGCACTTTTTTTCGATGCGCAAAGCGGCACAAGGCTCCATCTAGCGACTTCCCCTTTTCAACAGGGGGCCGAATATTTGAAACATGTTTCAGCAGCAATTGTTCGAACAACCTCCTTTTGAAGTCCTTCTAGAGCCCAAGGCTGCTTTCACATCTCTTCTGACTGAAACTTGCATCAGGCTAGCAGATGTTCTTGCCTTATCATGATTTGGCATATCCGCACCCCGCAACCCCATTCTAATATTCATTGTTGAGGCCCTTTTCTCCATTGGAGTACTCCCCCTGGCAAAACAAGCCACTATTTCCAGGTCACAGATTCCCTTAAAAGCATAAGTCAGTTGCCCAAAGGACCCAGTAATAAAAGGTGATCACCTTTTGGGACCTTTACTCAGATAGACCCGAATGAGAGAACCAAAAGATCAAAAAGTCGGAGGAGCCTGGCACAACGAAAGCTGAGACCAACGGCCGCCGGAGGGAATTTCGCCTTCTGGCTCAGCAAAGGTCCGCCGGAACCATTCGAGACAGATCCACCGGTTTGGCTCCTGCAAAGAATTCGATAGAATATATGGCCGTGAAGCTGAAATAGGGTGTGGACCCAACAACAAACACAGAGTTACAGTTTCCCTATGCAACACTTCAAAACTACATGTGTCTGAGTCTGATCTATGTTTCGCCTACTCCCCCCCCAAAAAAAAAACGTTTGTTGTGGCCTCCCCCCCCCCCCTAAAAAAAAAAAAAAAAGTGTGGGGATCGGAGACCCCAGAAAGAGGGGCCCCTGGAGCCTCAAAGAGCCAAATCCTCTTCGAATTGAACTTTGCGGTTGGGATGCCCTGGTCTCGGGAAATTCGGTCCGAGACAAGACCGGCGATTCCTTTTGGCGGCGGTTCCATGCTGATCGCTGGGAGTCCCCATGACCGGAATAGCTGCCGCGATAGGTCTTTGTCTTTGCGGCTCGCTCAGTGCAACTAAGTGCGCGGTGTTTTCTTGTTAGGGGGGGGGTCAGGCCCCAAAAGCAGCAACAGCGCGATAGGTAGGGAATGAGAAATGGCATGAACCCAGGCGTCCGCAAAAAAGGACACCGCCAGTTGGATGGATTGATTTCGGGGTCATTCCAGCCCTTCCCTGCTGGGCACCAGCAAGTGAAACGATGAGGTCACATGGCCAAGATGAAGGGGTTGGACCCCATTTGCTTGGAGTCATCGAGGCTCCAAATGCACAAAATCAACTTACCAGTTGCTAGTTGGTTTCTCCAAATTTTCATAGTGCTTTATCCATCCCAACAAATGCAACCAGTTGAATCATCAAGGGGTTTATGTATCCGGGGTTGCGGGTGGATGCCGAAAACATATTGCAAGGGGAACAAGGGAACTGAATAGCTTAATTACTGCCAGTTCCCATGGTTCTGTGCGATGCGTTTGGTTTACTTGCGACATGCTAGGGGCACCCACCGTAGCATGGCAACTGGATGCACCCACCGGTCATAGATGGCATTCTGGAAAACAACACGTCGACCCTGATCAATGGCTTACAAATCCCAAACCAACGTTAACCTAAAACTTAGTTCCTGAGTGGATGACCCCCAAAAACTAACCAAACCCTTTGAGTGCCACTAGAATTTCAACCAAACCAAACGAAATCCTGCACCGAATAACCTTGTGGTTTCAACTCATGGTTTCCACTTGGTTGACGTTGGCAGGGGAGCAAAAATGTACATTTTAGCAGTTAAGTGGGGACTTTTCAACCACTAAACCACAATAAACAAAAATGCAAAATGGTTCCCAAATGCTCCCAAGAACAACCAGGTCCTTTCGTGGTGAGGATGGGATGCCACGGTCAGAGGAACCGCCAGGCCCGCAGAACCCGCGACTTCCGGCACGTCTTTTGGCCGCTCAAGGCCAGCGGCCAGAACTCGGCCAGCGAGTCCTGGCGATCGACTTTCGGGAAGGCGTGGACACGAAAGAACTACCCATACAAAAGGGAATTCACGGCCATAACTCTTGGGGCAAAAAAAAGGAATGAAAATCCTTAGGTAAACAATGGTGGTCATATGCACCCAACCATTGTTTCAACTCTAGTGCTACCTTCCTTTTCCATTCTTTCCAGGGATCCTTCCTTCTAGAAAACCCTCCGGAAACCCAGGGAAACGGATCCGGTTTTTGGGAAAAAGGAATTCACCCCATAACTCTTGGGCCGGAAAAAAGGGATTCACCGACATAATCTTGGGACAGTCACCTGGTTTAAAGGGAATTGTGAGGGTCCAGGTTGTTCACCCCGGATTCAGAAACCCCTGATTGATTAATAGGGGGGTGTCCCCTTTTAGTGGGGATTCATCACCGTTGGAGGGAACCCCGCCCTAATAATGGCACGGGTTTATTAATCCTGGGTCAACATTACCCATAAAAAAAGGAACTCACCCCATAATCTTGGGCCAGTCACCTGTCTTAAAGGAAATTGTGAGGGTGCAGGTTGCTTCAAAGTCAAGTCTTTTTAGTTAAAGAGCTTCATTTACTTTTGCCTTCAAAGTCGGCCACGAAGGCGAAAGGGGCCGAGCAACCCTGTTTCTGACTTTCATCATCCTCACAAACCGTCAGCAATAATCACCAGGTGGAAAGCCAAAGAAAACCAAATCCATGTGCGGAGGCGTGGCCATCGTTTAGAAGCTCACAAATATCTCGATCATTAGCCACAAATGTTCCGTCCGAATCGAAGCAAATACGGAAGTGACCAACCACAACAAAGCTTATCAATGCACCGCCGCTCAAAAATGCGAAATGGATGGAGAAACCCCTGGCTAAGGCCGGAGGCCGGCTTGGGTGCATCGCCCTTTCAACTTGCTGGAAAACTCGTTGAAACTCATATGGCTGTGGCGGGATTCTTTTGGCCCAATGGCTTGTCTCAAAATACCGGGTCCCCAACAAGGAGTTTTTTGGGCTTCCGTGTGGTGTCCTTTGGAGACCAAAAGGGGGATCCACCAAAACAATGCCACACCCAAAGAACCTGAAACAGAATCAGAACATGTGTGGCTCAACATTACAGAGCCAAGCTTCTAAATCGTTTTGGCGTAGACCCCAGTTTCGGGACTTCGGCGGGCGAACGTCGAACTTCTTTTGGGCTCATTCCAAACCATGGCGTCTCAACCGCGCGGCGCGGCAGTCTTTGCCCCACCAAACTGACAAAACAGGCCTTGGCTGTTTGACCGCTCAGCTGAAGCTCGGCTGAATCCAAAGAGTCCACGTCTAGGGCACGTAACCAAGTGTTCATTGATTCCTGCTAGAAACTGAATGGGCTTTACGTCCACTCCATGTTTCTTCTTGGGGGGGAGCCACCAAACAACAAAGCGGGTAACCGGTGCTTCCCCCTTTAAACAGTGGCGGCCGGACTAATACACCTAGTTCATATTAATTGGGTGGTTTCCCCTTTTAGGTTGATTCAGACCACTTTTGAAGGAAGGCACCCCCTATTTATAGGAAGGGTTCTACCTAGCTCCGGGTTTAACATTACCTCACTTCCCAGCAAATGGATTGGCAACAAACAAAGTCGTGACATTTTGTTTACTGAGACAACAGCACTCCCACACGTCATACACCCATTTGGGCGTGGGCAAAAAATCGGGTAACCCCAAAATGGGTTGCTCCAGTAAATGGATACAAGGACTAAAGTCTGCGGTCCATATCCTGGTGGTTGAAGTTTTGCTTCGTTTTCCTAAGTCCCCAGGAACAAATGAGAACATATCTGCAGTTGTGATAGGTTCCTTCTAAACCCAACAGGGAAAACAACAAATCCCAATATTCCATGTATGCAATATTTACTCACATTTAACCTCCAAATGTGTCAAATGTTGTTCATTTCAGCGCAAATAGACGTATGCCCATTTTGAACCGGTCAAAGGCAAGCCGTACCGAGGAGTGCCACTGCGAGGAGTCTTTCCGCGCATCGGCCCCCTCCCAAAAAGTCGAGCCTTTCTCACTTTCGTGAATTGGCGAATGCAAAGCCAAGCTTCTTGTGGCCTCAATAATCGAAGTCCAACTCAGAAAGTGAGTCGCGCAACTCGCTTTCAAGAAGTCGTTTGGTCTGCACAAAGAATTTGGGGAGATGGGGCTAGAGTGGGGCACAGAAGAACAACTGCACCCACAGACTACCCCAACTCCCACAGACTGCAACCTGACGGGAGGTATCTTCAATGCAAGAGAGATGGTCATGGTTTTCCAGCGACCTGTCAGGTTCTATTGGTCACACATCCCACCTTCAAAAGATTGCCGATTGCCGACGGCTTCTTTCTAAGCGTCGGCGAGAACCCAGTGAGTCACCAAAGGGTTACTTGTTTTAAGCGAACGTCCCAAGTCCCAAGCCATCCAAACTCAGTCCCCAGGCGTTGTTGAAAGGAGACGCCCTTGGAAACAGCTGGTTCAGGTGGTTTGTTTTTGGCCAAACATTGAAGAACTTCAGCAACCAAGGGAATCACACTTTGAAGGTCAAAAGGAACATTGTTGATTGCCTACGATCTGCAAAAAAAAACAATAGTTTCAAAACCGAGAAAACACAGATTTCCAGGTGAAGGGTCTACATCATGGTGAGCTGGTTTTCCCCTTGGTGAGCTCACCCTAAAATTGGCAGCTACTATACCTCCATTTGCTTTT